CGTTACATCCCCAGAGACTGCCGTTAACATGACGTCAAAACCCGACCGAATCCGCTCAACTTTATCCGTGAAGGATCGAGCAAATGCTTCACAGCGAGCCATCGAGTTGTCCGAGGCCTCGCTTTTTGGCGGATTTAACAGGCCCCTGACAACTCGGAAAAGCTCCGCCGGACGATTCTTCGCTGATGCAATATTGGCTGTGATGAATATTTTCTGAGCTGCCGTTATTGCCACACCGTAGGACCTTAGAAAGGCATTCAGGTGTGTTTGGGCTGGATTGGTGGGGTTCTGGCGCCACACGCACTCTAACCTCCTCTTCTTTCGCTTCATCGCTGCCAGCTCCTCGGTAAACCAAGAGGCTGGTTTAGCTCGGTTACTCGAGAGGGGGCGTTCCGGAGCGATAGTGTCAATTGCCCTGGTCATCTCACTGTTCCAGCGGGAGACCAGAGCATCGACAGGGTCGCTAGCCAAGGAGGTGGGAAAATCCCCAAGAGCCATCAGGAAACCGTTTGGATCCATAAGTCTCCTGGGGCGGACCATTCTAATGGGTCCACCACCCCTGCGGAGGTTAGGAGACCCAGTTAGTCTAAATCTGATCAGGTGGTGATCGGTCATATATCATATATATCTATCTATATCTATGGCTGGATGGCTCTTGTTCAGGAGGGCTTTGATTACATTCTCTTGCCCTGGTGAAGGGAGTTGGACTGGGTGGCCTGAAGTATTTTCTGTTGGTCATGGGGGTTCTATGTGGTAAGTTTGCCCCAATTCTGTCATTCGTAGAGTTCAGAATGCTTTTTGTTTGTAGGTGAACTATAAATCCCAGTAACTACAACTCCCAAATGTCAATGCCTATTTTCCCCAAACTCCTTGTTCATATTTGGGCATATGGAATATTTGTGCCAAGTTTGATCCAGATCCATCATTGTTTGAGTCCACAGTGCTCTCTGATGTAGGTGAACTACAACTCCCAAACTCAAAGTCAATGCCCACCAAACCCTTTGAGTGTTTTCTGTTGATCGTGGGAGTCCTGTATGCCATGTTTGATTCAATTCCATCATTGGTGGAGTTCAGAATGCTCTTTGATTGTAGGTGAACTACAAATCCCAGCAACTACAACTCCCAAATAACAAAATCATTTTTTTTTAGTGAAAGACATACATTGGGTTGTTAGGTGTACGCTGTCCAAATTTGGTGTCAATTCGTCCAGTGGTTTTTGAGTTACATTAATCCCACAAATGAACATTACATTTTTATTTATATAGAGATATTTACATAGTGGTTGGGTCTCTTTAGTTTTTACCCATTTTGGGCCCCCGGATGTTAGGGAATGACAATTCCCAACACTTTTGATTATATGCCATGCAGACTGAGGATAATGGGTCTGGCAATCCAACAACCCTCGAGGGTCTAAGATTGGGGAAATGTTAGCGGACATGTTAAAGTCAGACATCATATCCACAAGTCTTGTACCTAAATCCAACCCTGACTCTCATGACTAAACAAAACAAACTGCAGCCTTCCAGGTGTTACTATATCACAACTCTCATCAGCTCTAATAACAAAGAATATAGGGCTGTAGTCCACCATCTGGAGGACAACATTAAATGATATGAAGGGCCTTGAGTTTGACACAAGTGGTTTCAATGATGATGCCAGTAACACAAAACAAACCAGAAAAGAGCAAAGGGTGGGAGAAGTGAGAAAACACAATATTAATGCAGAATATCAAACTATTTAGTGAGTCACCCAGTGGTTTCCATGGCCGAGCTGGGATTCAGACCATGGCCTACAGAGCCATAACCTAATGCTCAAACCACTATGCCACAATGGTCCTCTAATAAATGGCAGACCTTTAAGGTCTAGTAAGGAGACTCTGTTCTCCACACAGTCCAGGGCCATCATGCATTTAAAAGTCACCAGAGAAAGCACATTCTCGAGAGTGGCTCCAAAGCTGCTGGAGGAAGTTTGATCAGCTTCCACACTGATGTCATTCAGGAAAGGTGTGCAGATCTTCCTTTTTGAAGCAGCTTTTAATTGAAGCCAGGTATTTTATGGTCAGGAATTTGTCAATGTTTATTATTTAAATAAAATGTTTATTATTTAAATAATAATCTTCAGACCTTCCTGTTCAAGCAAGCTTTTAATGAAGATATTTAATTTGGAATGACAGGAAGGCTATATCTTTCAGTGAGTTGAGCAAAGTTTATCATCTGTATTGAGGAGTTCCCACAACAATTGTATTTATATCTGTTAAATAATTTTAAAATGTTTATTTATGCTTTATTGTAAAGTTGGTTTTATAGGTTATTGCTATATTTATGGTCGATTTGTTATTAGCATAGTACAATATCAGGTGTCAAACAGGGATGTGTTATTGCCCCAACTTTATTCTCCATCTTCATCGCTATGATACTTCATCTTGTTGATGGGAAGCTTCCCAGCGGAGTGGAAATCATCTATCGGACAGATGGCAAGCTGTTTAACCTCAGCAGACTGAAAGCCAAAACCAAGGTTACAACAACATCTGTTACAGAACTCCAGTATGCTGATGACAACGTTGTCTGTGCGCATTCAGAAGAAGATCTACAAGCCACTCTAAACACCTTCGCAGAAGCATACGAGAAGCTCGGCCTGTCATTGAACATCGGGAAAACCAAAGTGCTCTTCCAGCAGTCACCAGCCAACCCCCCTCCAGTGCCAGAAATACAGCTTAATGGTATAACATTAGAAAACGTTGACCATTTCCGCTACCTTGGCAGCCACCTCTCTACCAAAGTCAACATCGACACCGAAATGCAACACCGCCTGAGCTCTGTGAGCACAGCATTTTTCCAAATGAAGCAGAGAGTGTTTGAGGACTGGGACATCCATAGGGATACCAAGGTGCTTGTTTATAAAGCTATTGTCCTCCCAACCCTGCTATATGCCTGCAAAACGTGGACAGTCTACAGACGTCACATGCAACTCCTGATACGATTCCATCAGCGCTATCTCCAGAAAATCCTGCAAATCTCTTGGGAAGATAGGCGGACGAATGTCAGCATGCTGGAAGAAGCAAAGACCACCAGCATTGAAGCGATGGTCCTCCGCCATCAACTCTGCTGGACCGGCCACGTTGTCCGGATGCCTGACCACCATCTCCCAAAGCAGTTGCTCTACTCTGAACTTAAGAATGGAAAACAGAATGTTGGTGGACAGGAAAAGAGATTTAAAGATCGGCTCAAAGCCTAACTTAAAATCTCTGGCATAGACACTGAGAACTGGGAAGCCCTGGCCCTTGAGTGCTCCAGCTGGAGGTCAGCTGTGACCAGCAGTGCTGCAGAATTTGAAGAGGCACGAATAGAGGGCGAAAGAGAGAAATGTGCCAAGAGGAAGGCACACTAAGACAACCCCGACTGAGACCACATTCCACCTGGAAACCAATGCCCTCACTGCGGGAGAAGATGCAGATCAAGAATAGGGCTCCACAGTCACTTATGGACCAACCACCAGTACATTAATCCTGGAAGACTATCCTGCTTGGACAACGAGGGATCGCCTAAGTAAGTAAGTAATTATTAGCATAGTACAATATCAGTACTGTGCCATTATATTGTAATATTATTAGTGATATTACATGTAATATGGAATACATAATTATAATATTGTATTATTAGTAGTATTATATTGTATTACATTTTAATATTATAAATATTATATGTATATACAATATATCATATTATAAGTAAAGCACAAGTGCTTGGAGAGCTGGAACCAATCTTTCTCATGGGCAGACGCAACCTGGAACCCCCATTATGCTCCTTTCAGATGGAAAGGAGATTCCAGCAGAACATTATTTATTTCTTTACTACGCTTCTATGCCGCCATTCTCAGCCCGAGGGCGACTCATGGCGGTTTACAAAACGGCACAATTCGATGCCCACAACAGTACAAAAATAGTTTAAAAAAACATTTGAGAATTTAAAAATCATTACAATTAACATCAATAAACATAATAAAAAACCATAAGTCCTCCACATTTCATTAATCAGTCATTGTCCAGTCACATTGTCCAACCGTTCCGAGATCAGAGTTTCAAAGCTACACTGCCTTTGGGAAGGCCTGCTCATATAGCCAGGTTTTAACTTTTTTGCGAAATGTTAAGAGGGTGGGGGCTGATCTATTGTCCCTGGGGAGGGCATTCCACAACCGAGGGGCCACCGCTGAGAAGGCCCTATCCCTCATCCCCGCCAATCAAGCCTGTGAAGATGGCAGGGCCGAGAGCAGGGCCTCCCCAGAAGATCTTAATTTCATAGAGGGTTCATAAAGAGAGATAAGTTCTGACTGTGAGAGCTGTTCAGCAGTGGAACTCTCTGCCCCGGAGTCTGGTGGAGGCTCCTTCTTTGGAGGCTTTTAAACAGAGGCTGGATGGGGGTGCTTTGGATGCAATATTCCTGCTTCTTGGCAGGGGGTTGGACTAGATGTCCCATGAGGTCTCGTCTAACTCTATTTATTTGTCGTGTCAGAGCAACCAGTCCATTATATTACATTTCTAACAGAACAAAGCAAACAAACAGACAAATACAAAACTTGTGAGTTTGGTAGCTGATTAAATGTCCTTTGACCAGTATCTGGCCACTGGTCTAACTCTATGATTCTATGATTCCCACTCTCCTTTCAGAGCCTTGCAATGAATGGGCGTAAGAAGCGAGGAAAGCGGCCTTGAGCTGGCCCTTTAAATCCCGCCTGGGTCACGTGGGGCTTGTGCAAAAAAAAAAGAAAGAAAAAGGAAGAGTGACGCACACAAGGCGATAGGGAGGGGGCGGCTCCCCCCGAACGCGTGGTCGTGCCCCATTGGCCAGAGGTAGTATCCAATCAGAAGCGGCCATCTGGGACGCCAACGTTCGGGGGCGCTGCCCAACCCGCCGTCTTTCCGGCCGACCAATGGCAGTGTCCATCCGGCCCGGCGCGAGCAATCGGGACACGGCGGAGGCGGGCGTTCGATCCAGCCCGGTATAAAAGGGCAGCGAAAGCACTTCGCTGGCTGCAGTCGGTTGCCCTTGTCAGGCTCGAGGAGGAGAACCTTGCGCGCGGGGAAAAGACATGGCTCTCTTCTTGGCCTTCTGCTCCATGCTGGCCCTGGTGTCGGCTGGGCCTGCGCAGTACTTCCGGGAGGAGTTCGGGGATGGAGGTGAGAGGCGAGGAAATGAATGGGGGCCTCCAGCAGGGATGGGCCCACCTCGGGGAGGGAGGGAGAGAGGGTGGGTGAGGGATATTTCTGGAGCCCTTCCATCCAGGGGTCGTGAGAAGAGTAAAACCACAACAATAGGCCTCTAAGAGGAGTCCAACAAAAGGGGAGGGGGATGGAGAGAAGCAGGGCTGAGCCTGGGTTGGTCTTTCTCTTGTCTTCATCCCCCCGCCATCTTGGATTGTGGCCATCTAGGGCTCGAGGAAGGCTGGGGGTGACATTGCAGTTTCCCCATATACTACCCCATAGTGGACATGGAGGCCTGGGGGGGGGGGGGGAATCAATCCCCTCTAGGCTGGCACAGAGTTCCCCTTTGAGATACAATTGTGCCATGATGGTTCAGGTTCTGCTCCAAGTAAAGAGTGGCTGAGAAACCTGGATGCCAAGAATGTAAAAACGAATGGGAATGAATATATATTATGATGGAGGCAACTGACTGCTTAATTTGGGGATAGGGTAGGTCATTTACTGGAGGGCTTTCAAGGGAGGAAAATGGGAGAGCTCTGTTCATATCCATCCTGTTTTGCTTTCCAAGCCACTCATGATGTGTGAAATACCTCTGAGGATGCTTGCCATAGATGGAGGCGAAACGTCAGGAGAAAATGCCTCTAGACCATGGTCATATAGCCTGAAAAAACCTACAACAACCCAGTGATTCCAGCCATGAAAGCCTTCGACAGTACATTCTCCTAGGATCCTTTTTTGCCCTGTGATAAGTCTGTAGGTAAAGAATTCAGAGATGATTTTCCCAGTTTTTTCCTCTGAAATACAAGCTATAGTAACTAGGATTCATTAGTGGTCTCCCATTCAAGGAGTAACCAGAAATGTCCCAGCTTAACTACCAAGATCAGAAAGGGTCTGCTGCTTTTAGGTTTGCTTGCTTTTGCATTCTCATGCCTACCCCAGAGTATAAGTCTACCAGGAAATGCAAAAAATATTGATGACAGGAGGAAGGATTCCAGATATGTTGAATCTACAGTCACTGGCCCTTTCTACATTGCCATTTAAAATCCAGATTATCTGCTTTGACCTGGATTATATGGCAGTGTAAACTCATAAAATCCAATTCATGGCCATATAGCCCGGAAAACATACAACAACCCTGTGAAATATCTTGTTTGAATTGTGGGTTCTTAGGATCCAAGAATAACAACAAATAGGAATATATATGAAGGAGGCAACTTGCTGCTTAATTGGGAGGGGGTTGGGCTTTTTCTCAAGGGAAGAAAAAGGAAGAGTTCTGCTCATGTCCACCCTATTTTTTAAGTGGCCACTCATGAATTTATTGTCGAAGGCATTCATGGCTGGAATCACTGGGTTGTTGTAGGGTTTTTTGGGCTATATGGTCATATTCTAGAGGCATCCTCTCCTGACGTTTCGCCTTCATCTATGGCAAGCATCCTCAGAGGTTGTGAGGTCACCTCGCTGGATGTTATTGGATCACACACCCAAGCATTCGTGTCTCTTGGGCATTTGTTTCTTTCAGCCACAAGAATCACAACGCTAAAATGAATGGTTAGTATATACCAAAATATTATTTGAATCAACTAAATATACACAGAGTTGATTTATCTTAATTAGTTGACTCAAAGATCTGCTCTGTAAGGCATTTAGGCCAAAACATCTAAGGAGGAATTATTTGTTAAACTTTTGCATCAAAAAGGAAAAGTATTGTCGAAGGCTTTCATGGCCGGAATCACTGAGTTGTTGTAGGTTTTTTTGGGCTATATGGCCATGTTCTAGAGGCATTCTCTCCTGACGTTTCGCCTGCATCTATGGCAAGCATCCTCAGACAGCTCACTACCTCAATATCAGCAATTCAGCCAGATCTACCTGGGAGACCCACATCAATATCACCTCAGAGAGCTCACTACCTCTGAGGATGCTTACGATAGATGCAGGCAAAATATCAGGAGAGAATGCCTCTAGAACATGGCCATAAAGCCCGGAAAAAACCACTCATGAATTGTGTGTTCTTATGATCCATTTGGAAGAGGAAATTGAGAACTTGGCAATATGTGTGACAGGAAAAAGACTGTTGTGTCTAGTTTAAACGCACTGGGGAGTTGATAATTACACTGTAATCAATGAGGGCCACAGGGATTGTGAATGTGGACTAAATAGTTCACTCTGGGATGTCTCTCCCAACACACACGTACCGCCTGTTGGCAGAGGATCAAGAGTGACAGGTGTATGCTTCCTCAGTGTGGCACTACACCGAGGGCCCTTCCACACAGCTATATATCCCAGAATATCAAGTCAGAAAATCCCACAATATCTACTTTTGACTTCTCTGAATCCACACTGCCATATATCCCAGTTCAAATCTGAAAAAAGTGGGTTTTCATTCAGCAGTGTGGAAATAAGAGAAATACTGTGCTTATTTCATAGCAGTTATTTCTCTGGTCTATATGTGTGTGAGTGTATGTGCAGTCAAAGCATAGAATGTGGTTTGCAGTGTGAAATAAACTTAGGGCCCTTTATCTCAGGAGCTGATTCACTTTAAACTGGGATATATGAGGCTCTACTGATCCCAGATCCCAGGATATAGGGACAGGGTGGAAGGGCCCTTGCATGGAACAACAATTTGGGGTATAGGTTATTATTAAGACCGGTCTGATGATAGTGTCGCGTTTGTATAATAAGATGTGGGTCTCCCAGGTAGATTTGGCTAAATTGGTGATATTTAGGTAAGCCCAGTGCGCCCTAGAGATGCTTATTTTCTAAAGAATCCTGTGTCCAGTTTGATTCCACGATGGAGTAGAAAATTGAAAAATAAAGGATTGTTTTCTAGTTTGTCTCGAATTTTCTGCTCATTTGCATAGAAATGAATACCATTGAGCAGATTGTATAAGCATATGTTTAGGATTGTGCTGTTAGGCCCCTTATGCATCAGAATATTTTCATTGCATACATTAGCTAGGTATAAGCTCCAATTCTCTGTCTGAGGATGGCAGCTTTATTCTTTCCTCTTCTGTGCTGCTAGGAGGAAGTTAAAGGGTAAGTTTGGCTGATGTTCTTTTGGGAGAGCAAGAAATGCTAGTTACAGTGAAATATAAAATAGTGGATAGTGTTGTCCTGTCGTTGGTTTTTCGGTGATATGGTCATACTAGTTTTTTAATTATGTTTTTGTTTATGTATTTTGATTTGAAGGCTTTTGACTTTATGAAGTAAGGGAAGATAATACAAATTTTAGATAATGGCCTGGCTGTTACTCATATTGAAAACACAAAATTCTTATTGTTAACAAAAATGTACTTGCTACTTTTCTCTTAATAAGGTTTGGCCATTGGGCATGGTAATTCCTTTTTTATTTTCAGCAGCCCTATGCTGTGTATGGTGTGGAGAGTGGAGGAGGAGCCACAGAATTGGAAAATCGTTTAGTATTAAGCTTCCATACTGTAACCAGTGAACTATGGAAAATATGCCTCTGACATAAATCATATTATTGAAAACTCTGGTGTTCATTTTTTAAAAGATCGTTGAAATAACTTTTTTTAATTTATACAGCAGAAACTGACTTGCTTGTTTCAAGTCATTGTAAATAGTATTTGAGGAGGCACTACATGTAAACGGCATTCGAGCCATGCACTGTACCCAGGTGGCATTACCATCTAAATGTTATGGTTAAGCAAGAATTGGGATAGTTTGGTAATCCAGAACTATCCACCACATCAACACTCCCAACAGCCTTCTGTTTTGTACTAAGTCATGCTTTAATCTAGCCTGCTAGAACAGGAGTGGAAACCATGAATAATCAGAATATTTAATTGCAACAAAGTGGCTACATAGCTTTCCCAGAAAACACAAAATAACCGTAAAGATACAGTGTTTTTAAAAACTGGAATCTTGTTGCAAAACTAGGTTGTAACCAAAAAGGACAAAAATAGCTCATCACATGTTGCTTTCAGGACAAATGTATTTCACTTACTATCTTTTTATGAAGTAGATTTCTGTGCAATGTTTAAAGCCAAATGATAAGCAAAAATACATAGTTGGTCAACAGAGGTGTTGTTTTTATTTCTTTAGATGCCTGGACAGGCCGTTGGATAGAATCAAAGCACAAATCGGACTATGGGAAATTCGTGCTTTCATCTGGGAAATTCTATGGAGATATAGAGAAAGACAAAGGTGAGAAAATGTGGCAGAGGGTGTGTCTTAATTCAGTGAGAGGTAGAATCCTCAAACAGGAAGTGCTAATGTAGTGCTGTAAATGTTAATCTGAGGCTCCTTCTGCACTGCCATATAAAATCCAGATTATTTTATTTGAACTGTATTGCAATGATGCTTCATAAATTGGTAATGGCCTTCTCGGCTGTGGCCCCCTGCCTATGAAACACACTCCCAAATGAGGTAAGTTCTACTCCCTCCCTCCTGGCTTTTAGGGGGGAAAAATTAAAATCATGTATGTAGCATTTGAGGGACATTGATTGGAACGGTGATTTGACTGATGAGAGTGTTTTATTGTTTTAATGCTTGTTGATGTATTGTTTAATTGTGATTTTACCATTGTAATTGTTTGTATTGGCATCGTATCAGTGCCCAACGTAAGGCATTGAATCTTGCCATTATTTATGTGTAAACCGCTTTGAGTCCCCCCAGGGGTGAGAATGGCGGTATATACATACTATAAATAAAAAATAATGGGAAATTTCTTCATCAAGTAGTTCAAAATGACTTTCTGATGCACTTTGGCTTCTAATATGAAGGCTGAAGTTCAGACATTAAAGAAATGTTTCTTCCATCATGCCTCCCAATTCCCCAGGCTGTTTGGAGCTAATGTGTATTTTGATGAAGGTGTTAAGTGTATGTCTTGTCTTCCCAGGACTTCAGACAAGCCAGGATGCTCGTTTCTATGCTATTTCTGCCCATTTTGATTCCTTCAGCAACAAGGACAAGACCCTTGTGGTGCAGTTTACAGTGAAGCATGAACAAAACATTGACTGTGGAGGTGGCTATGTGAAACTCTTCCCTTCAAGCCTGAACCAAGAGGACATGCATGGGGACTCTGAATACAACATCATGTTTGGTTAGTAGTTTCTTGGATGCTTGACACTTATCTATGGGATTGTAACAGTTGTCTCCTCTTGCTTTGTCTGTAGTATTACTGCAACCTTTCTCTAGATCAGTGGTTCTCAACCTGTGGGTCCCCAGGTGTTTTGGCCTACAACTCCCAGAAATCCCAGCCTGCTTGCCAGCTGTTAGGATTTTTGGGAGTTGAAGACCAAAACATCTGGGAACCCACAGGTTGAGAACCACTGCTCTCAATACTGCTGTAGGTTCAAGCAGTCCTGAGAATATATATTGTGAATATAGAGCAGTGTTTCTCAACCTGGGGGGTCAGGACCCCTGGAGGGTCACAAGGGAGTGTTAGAGGGGTTGCCAAAGACCATCGGAAAACATCGTATTTTCTGTTGGTCATGGGGTTCTGTGTGGGAAGTTTTGGCCCAATTCTATCATTGGTGGGGTTCAGTATGCTCTTTGATGCTAGGTGAACTATAAATCCCAGCAACTACAACTCCCAAATGTCACGGTCCATTTTCACCAAATTCCACTAGTGTTCACATTTGAGCATTTTGAGTATTTGTGCCACGTTTGGTCCAGATCCATCATTACTTGAGTCCACAGTGTTCTCTGGATGTGAACTACAACTCCAAAAGTCAAGATCAATGCTCACCAAATCCTCACAGTATTGTCTGTTGACCATGGAAATTCTATGTGCCAAGTTTGGTTCGATTCCATTGTTGGAGTTCAGAATGCTCTTTGATTTTAGTGGAACTATAAATCCCAGCAACTACAACTCCCAAATGACAAAATTCAACCCTCTCCAACCCCACCAGTAATCAAATTTGGGAGTATCGGGTATTTGTGCCAAATGTGGTCCAGTGAATGAAAATACATCCACTGCAATAGAGGGAGGTGGTATTGGTTTTACATGGATATCTTGTTAACCTTTGACACCATTGTACATTAGCCTCAGCATTATACCTAATTTGGGGGATATCCTCGTTTCCTTGCTGTCATGTTACTAAGTAGTGGACAAACCTTGAGTTGGGAATGCCATCTAAGGATATATTTCCTTGCTAGACAGTTGTAGGTTGCCTGCCAGTGGGGTAGGTCAGTGATAGGCATGGTCAGATCTTATGATAATCATTACCTGCTACATGCTCATTGTATTTTTATTATTATAAATAATCTTTATTGAAAGTTTCTTTTTAAAAAAGAGAAAAGGAAAAGAAAAAAGACAAAAAATAAATATAGACAAAGTAGAAAAACAAAACAAACAAAACACACACAAAGAAAACTGGAGCATGATGATATATGTGTCTCCTTGGTTTACTTCCTGAGTATCGCCCAAGTGGTTTTTCCTCTTCTTTCTTTTGTCTTTTCTTCCTTCTTATTTCCTCTTCCTTTTATATTATATTTCTATTTTTCTGTTTCAAGTAGTTTGTCACTTTTGTCCAATCAGTTTCTTTTATTGGGGTCCCTTTGTTTTTTGAAATTAAATATGTTAATCTATCCATATTTTTGATATCTACAATTTTTTTCTATCCAATCACTAATTTCTGGGATCTCTTTTTCCCCCCAGAATTTGGCGTAGCAAATTCTTGCTGCAGTATTTAATAAAAACAGGAGTTTGTATTTTTTTCCCTAATTTTTGATCTATTATCCCCAATAGGAATATTTCGGGTTTGAAAAATACATGCTCATTGTATTTTTTACCTAGTCACATGCCTATTTCTTTTGTTGACATTCTTGCATTCATGCACCACATCCTTTCTCTTGCACTTGTTCCATTTGCTGTGTTCCATAAATCAAGCCCCGTGTGACACCAGTAAGATGGTTCTTTCTGAAGATGAATTACTGTGCAAGTTGGAGAAGAGGGGCTGCTTAACATGCTGCTTCTCTTGTTCCCACCAATGCAGCTTGTGATGGAGGTGGGACTGAGAGAAGGCCTCTCCTGAGGCTCTCAGGGCCTGGGCAGATTCATACTGGGAGATACGGTCAGCCAAATAGCCTGGATCTGAGCAGTCTAGGGTTTAAAGATTATATCATAATCAGCACTTCGAATCGTGCTTATCCAGTGGAGTTGCTGCAAGGGGGCGGGTTGTCAACTACCTGTAGTGAACCCTGTTAGCAACCTGGCTGCAGCTCTTTGGACCAGCTGAAGTTTCTGAACACACTTTGAAGGCAGCCCATATAGAGTGCATTGCAGTCATCTAAACAGGTTGAAACTAAGTTACATAAGGTATTTACCACCGTGACCAGATCCGTCACAGTTGCTACTTGTTGGGAGAGGTTGCCATAAAGAGTTTTCTTGATTCCTCCTAAAATGGGATTTCTTGAAAGTATTTTTTTTTCCTTCCAATGTAGGTCCAGATATTTGTGGTCCTGGTACCAAGAAAGTTCATGTCATTTTCAACTACAAAGGCAAAAATGTTTTAATCAATAAGGACATCCGTTGTAAAGTGAGTATCAATGTAAAGTGTGTGGTAGACTGGGGTATGTCCAAAGGGAGGGTAATAGGAAGAAATATGCTAGCCTTCCTCAAGTACTGAAAGTGTTATCATGTACCCAATTAAAGTTCTGATGAATATTTATTTACATTGCTTCTACCCTGCCCTTCTCACCCCCGAGGGGGGACTCAGGGCGGCTTACATGGGCAACAATTCAATGCCATAATATCAATAAAACAACATACAATCAAGTACATAAAAATTAACAATAACATTAATTAAAATCACATACTCATATACTAGCATAGTCGCCTAATCAAAATCACATATCCGTTTCCTATTGTCATAATTCTATGGTCCGGTTCAGTATCTAAGTGCTGCTAAGTCCACTAGCCAAAAGGCTGGCTCCAAAACCAGACTTTAGTTTTTTCCTAAAAGTGAGGAGGGAGGACACCGATCTAATCTCATTGGGGAGCGAATTCCACAAGTGAGGGACCACCACTGAGAAGGCTCTGTCCCTCATCCCCACCAGATGCGTTTGTGACGCCGGTGGGACTGAAAGTAGGGCCTCCTCAGTAGATCTTAAATTACGAGGTGGCTCTAGGGGAGAAAGTTTATATATATAAAAGATCTAGCTGGAAAAGAAGTGTGTTAACTTTGAATATCATTTCATTTTGACAGGACGATGAATTCACCCATCTCTATACTCTCATTGTTCGACCTGATAACACTTATGAGGTAAAGATTGACAATAACAAAGTTGAATCTGGCAGCTTGGAGGAGGACTGGGATTTCCTGCCTCCGAAGAAAATCAAGGATCCAGAGGCAAAGAAACCTGATGACTGGGATGAAAGGGCTAAGATAGATGATCCCGAAGACACAAAGCCAGAGGTCAGTGGGTGCTAACACTGTTCCAATTAAGATACCTACATCATTTGAGAATATGAGCAAAATGAGTAGACTTGTACCCCAAGAGATTGCAGAAAAAAAACTATAAATTGAGGAAAGAGATGATGGACTTTGTCGACATTGAGAGAACAAATGGCAGCACTGAGATGGTAGTTGGTGGCTGTGCTGAAGACTGAAGGGAGGCAGTATTTAGATTTCAGGAGACCTTCCTAACAATCCTGGGTTTTCTTAATTTGTCTTCCAGGACTGGGATAAACCAGAGCATATTCCTGATCCTGATGCCAAGAAGCCTGAGGACTGGGATGAAGAGATGGATGGGGAGTGGGAGCCACCAGTGATCCAGAACCCAGAATACAAGGTAAGGGTCATGGAGGTGGCAGTGTTTGGGTGGTTTATTTTGAAGACTCCACTAATTCATAAGTATAGAAGAGGACCATCTTAGAGGCATGTTTTCTTGTAAAGCAGAATACAGCCTCTAAAACAGTGGTTCTCAACCCAGCTGTAGCCAACGAGGCAGTTGCAATTCCAGTATTTTTGGAGGGCCAAAACTTGTCCACTTGTTTAGAATCCTGAAGACACAAAACCAATGGTGAATGAGTGCTAATAGTGTTCCAGAAACAGTGAGAACATGATTGATGATTTTCCCCTAAAGTGACTAAAGAAAAATGAGATTGAAATACAATTTAAAAGTGATAAATATTCTAGTTTAAAAGTTCTTTGTTTATGAAATAGAGTGGCAACAATTATGGAGACAAAGACATCTAAAAATTTATCAATACGGGTTAAAGAAAATTATTACAAGTTAATATGGAAATGGTACCTAACACCAGTAAGAATAGCACATATAAATAAAAACTATTCAAAAAATTGTTGGAGAGGATGTAAAGAACCAGGAACATATATACATATGTGGTGGCAATGTAAATATGCAAATAATTTTTGGGGAAAAGTATTTAGAGAAATAGAAGATATAATGAATATTAAAATAGAAAAGTCCTAGCATAGCTTTATTATCATTATCTAACAATAAACAATTGAAAAAAGAGGATAAAGATGCGATAACAAAGTTATTAACAATAGCAAGACTGCTTATAGCAAGGAACTGGAAAAAGAAATAAATATACACATGGAGTGGTATAAGGAAGTACGGAAATTGGCAATAAATGATAAATTGACATGTATATTAAAAGTTAAAAGAGTTATATGGAAACAAAGTAATTTTGATGATGTATGGAGAAAATTTATTGAAAAAGGATTAAAAAATAAAGAAGGAAAGTTACCTCCACAAGAAGAATTGAAATTTTGGACAGATGACATGTAAAAGCTGTGGCTTGGGAGGGGAGGGGAGCACTGCGGTGAGAGATAGATAATATGTATAAGCAGAAAAATAACACTAGATGCCAAAAGTAAGTTAAGTTGTATTGAATAATGTGTATCTGCTGTAAAACAAATGTATTAAACCATGATAAAATAATAAAAAATATATTTTAAAAAAGTTCTTTGTTTAAGTGTTTATCATGAAAATACCTGAGATACTGGATTTCTCGTTTCCAGGGAGAGTGGAAACCTCGTCAGATTGACAATCCCAACTACAAAGGGAAATGGATCCACCCTGAGATAGATAATCCTGAGTACACACCTGATTCAAACCTATATTCCTATGAGAACTTTGGTGTTATTGGCTTGGACTTGTGGCAGGTGAGTGGTTTTTGGTTTCCTGACAGACTCTATATAAAATAAAGCCAATACCTGTCCATTTATCACCTGAAACCAATAGAAAGAGGTGCATTGTATGCATATATAAAAACAAAACTTTTCTTAAATAGAGAAGAGGTATTTTGTAATACATTGTAAGAAAATGTATGAAAACACAGTGGATTGGATTTAAATTGTACTTGGAGTACATTTTCTAATTGGTGTGATAAATAATAACTAACTTGCTTGATTTTAGTCTTTTCATAAGCATAACTGCGTTTATATTCAGCACGGTAAAAACAAAACAATACTAGACAAATAAAGTAGATGCCACAAATGTCTCTTAAGATCTGTTTCAACATAGTTGACTCTGTTGTCAGTTTTCTGAAACATTTTACATTTTTAGAGTGTAAGCTGTTTTGAGAATGTTTTAAACAGGAAAGAATAATGGTAGTTCATGTGGAATTAATATAAATCAACTACAGAACTGCAACTGAAGAAAACCTATTCCCATTATGAGCCAATAATCACAGTAGCTTTTGTTAATGCTTTTATTGCCTGCCATTGTGTACTTATTTGGACTGAAGCGTATGGACCCATGAAACTTCAAGAAAACTGCCTAGTCTTATTTTAGCCTGGAAGCTGCAAAGAAGCTTCTTTCTTTTCTTATTTTTAGCCTGACTGAAGAAAGGCTTTGTCAAACCTTGTTATTAGCATCAAAATTCTCATTTCACCAAATTAAATGAGGAGACATAGGGGCTCTTTCCTTCTGCTTGTTCTGGCCTTTTTAAATCACATGTCTGGAAAGCTTTGGAGAGATCACAATACCAGTATCCTGTTTAATGCAGTTATAGTTGGCCATTCTTTAATGCACCTTCATTTTGTAGCATTGACTCCTCTATGCTAGAAAAAGGAGTTGATCAAATAAATTGTGGGTTTCCCACCAGTGATGGTGTTGAAACAAAAGCTTTCGTTTTGCCATAAAAGTTTGCCCAGGTTTTATGATCTTTGGGAGCTCACTTTTGGTATTGTCACCATTGAATAAACATTTCATTGGGATATGATAGAGTGACTACTTTTTCAATGCCTTCATCCTGCCATGCGGGAAGAAAGGTTGCCTCCCTTTCTCTTGGCCTTATCAAGCAAGTAAGTATTTGCAATAAATGTAATGTTCGTTTGTGGGATTAACAGAACTCAGAACCCACCATTGGACGAATTGACACCAAATTTGGACACAAGACACCTAACAATCCAATGTATGTCCTTCACTCAAAAAGTTTATTTTGTCATTTGGGAGTTGTAGTTGCTGGGATTTATAGTTCACCTACAATCAAAGAGCATTCTGAACCCCACCAACGATGGAATTGAACCAAACTTGGCACACAGTTCTCCCATGACCAACAGAAAATACTGGAAGGGTTTTGTGGGCAGTGTCCTTTGTTTTTGGAGTTGTAGTTTACCTACATCCAGCAATCACTGTAGACTCAAACAATGATGGATCTGGACCAAACTCTACACGAATACTCAATATGCCCAAATGTGAACACTGGTGGAGTTTGGGGAAAATAGAATCTTGACATTTTGGAGTTGTAGTTGCTGAGATTTGTAGTTCACCTACAATTACAGAGCATTCTGAACCCCACCAACAATACAATTGGGCCAAACCTCCCACACAGAACATCTATGTGGGCCACAGCAACGCGTGGCAGGGGACGGTTAGTTTGTAATAAAACAGGTCTTTGGCACATAAAGAAATCTGCTAAAGGCAATTCTAGTGATTGAGTGCTCACTGTATTATTAGGTATGTCATTGTTTTAGTGCTTCATTTTAATCAAGATTTTTTTCTGACTTTATTACTAGATAACGTAACATTTTTGGTAGAAATAAGGGATAACTTAATAAGTAAAATATAATATTTCCACTGCTTTCATAGATATCAAAAACACTTATGTTGGAAAATTAGAGCTAAATGTTTTTCCTGTTTATTTCAGGTCAAGTCTGGCACAATATTTGATAATTTCCTGATCACAGATGATGAAAAGTTTGCTGAAGAAATTGGCAATGAAACTTGGGGTGCCACTAAGGTGAGGCATTTCATTTGTCTAGTAGAAAAGAGCTTGCTCTAATATCTAGCTCCTTATATTACCTAGTTTACCTAGCTTTGTAAAATTTATAAATTATAAATCCTCATCTTTTTCACATACCAGTCATTTACATGCTAAACTGAGGCTGTTGTAGATCAGTTGATTTTTTATGGGGTGAGTTTGGTCAAATCCTTCTTCTGTGAAGTCACATCTGAAGTTGACATTCTGAAGGGTAAATCCAGTGGCTGATACATTAATCCATGCTTTGCATAAAGCTGTAAACTCTAGTCTTCTATTCCCAGCAATAAACCCAGTCATGTGGCACTTGGAATATTGAAGCAGAAATTAATATCCTTTTTTTACAGTGATCTTGGGTATATGATCTGACTATGGAAGTTCACAAAATGTAATGCAGTGTACCACATTTCACATAATAGTTGCACTTTTATGTGGGAGGGGGGTTGCAACTATTATACAGTGGCAACTATTGTGTGGGGAAAAAAGTCCCTTGGCGAGGGGCTTTTTTGTTGCATAATAGTTCCTTTGAGCTATTATGCAACAAAAAATGTTACCTTCCCCAAAAGCAGGTGTGACTATTATGTGATAGTGTTTCTTATGTAATATGGGTAATTCCCAGCATTCTTCACCATTAGCCTAAGACTCCTGGGAGTTACTGTTCAGCTTTTGGAGTGCCATGCAGTTAGCCACTGTCACAGAGACTCGAAGCTTACACAACAGTACAACTGCTTAAAATGACAGAGTGAGCACAATGCAGTCAGCCAGAGGTCAGACTCAAGAGTCCCATCATCCTTAATATGTGTGGCCAGCCAGTAATTATTATTATTATTATTATTATTATTATTATTATATTTATTTATACCCCACTTTATCTCCCCAAAGGGGACTCAAAGCGGCTTGACATAAAAGCATTAGTATACAATTTAAAATATACAAAAATGCAAACATTAAATCTTAAAGATAGTAAAAATGTTAAACATTCAAACCATATCCACTCAAAATCATGTATGTGTTCTTTCTTTCATCTTTCTCATTGATACTAGTTGACAATTTTTAGCAGTACTGGAAAAGACAGTATTCCATATACCAAGGCTGTTATTTGTTTCACACACAACCCAGATTTAAGAATCATTGCACAAACTGTGCAGTGGGATAGAAATCTGGATGTAGATCTGCTGACCCACATTCAAAGTCCAGCTCAGTTGTGTAGCTAACTAGGTGATGTCAGACAAATCACAGATTTTGTCATTTGGGAGTTGTAGTTGATGGGATTTATAGTTCACCTACAATCAAAGAGCATTCAGAACCCCACCAATGATAGAATTAAGCCAAACTTACCAAACAGAAGCCCTATGGTCAACAGATGGTCTTTGGTGACCCGTCTGACACCCCCCTTGCGACCCGCTCAGGGGTCCCGACAATGGCCTTTACCCTTGCGCGAAGTCAAGCCTCGCACCGAGATCCCCTCACCTGCCTCGTGCCCTCGCCAAATGGGGAAAGCGCGAGGCAGGCGAGGGGTCTTTGCGCGAGGTCAGGCCTTGCGCCGAGGACCCCTCACCCGCCCTCGCCAAATAGCGAAAGCACGATGCGGGCGAGGGGCCTTTGCGCGAGGTTGGGCTTCACGCGAAGGAGCTCTTGCCTGGCCCACACCCTTGAGGCGGGGCCAATGGAGGCGGCCTTGTGAACCCTCCAAAATGGCCAGGCGACCCCCAGGTTGAGAACCGCTGCTCTAGATGTTTTGTACTGAGTAATATTGGTAGATAAATCCTCCAACTTCTAGGGGACCCACACTTCGGCCACCTATGCTCTGTTATTTTGAGTAGTGTTTGATTGATGGCCTCTGCAATTAGCCTTGTTCAGTTCATATAAGTGTTTCTCTTTACATTACCAATAGGATGCTGAGAAGAAAATGAAAGAGCAACAGGATGAAGAACTACGAAAGACCCAGGAGGAAGAAGATAAGAAAAAGAAGGAGGAGGATGGCGAAGATGAGACTGAGGGGGAAGACAATGAGGAGGAGGAAGATGAGGAGGAGGAGGAAGACGAAAAGGAAGAAGAGGAGGAAACAGAGGGCCCACTGAAGGATGAGCTGTGATGGAGGGTTGCTGGGTGTGCTTGTTGGCAGAGCCCCACCCCGGACCTGTACCACGCAGTCAGTCCGCTTGGTTGAACCCAACTAAGGAGAGGGGATAACAGTAATGTCTCTATGAGACACAAGAACTTTCTTTTTTTATTGGTGTGTTTGTTTGTCTTAACCCCCTTCCCAAATACCATCCAATTATTCATGTCAGTAGATGGGAAACTAGCACCTGCATCCTAAGAAGGCTAATTTGTAGGAATTACTACAACCCTTTGAAACAGGGGAAGATACCATTGACCCTTCTTTTTTAAAAAAACGGTAGTCACTTTTCACTGAAAGTTTGTCTCTGGTGGTCCTCCATCAATGAATTTTCAAAAAGCAGAACTTTTTCCCTTCCTGAGATTTGCCCTTTACTTTGAAGGTACAAAGAAAAATCCAATAGTTTTTATTTGCCAGTTTTGGTGAGCATGCTGGGGTGAGAAGATGCAATGGCTACTTCTATGTCTCAAAAAAAAAAAAAGTTGAGGGAACTGGTATTGTATATCTCATTCTAGGGAGAGTCTGGGGTAACAGCCCTTTGTGCATCAGACAAATGTTGCTTTCTAAAAGCACCAAATCAATGTTTACCTTGGTTAAGGACCTATTTCCATGGTGAGATAGGAACCAGTATTGCAGAGATTGAGTTTGTGGTATCAACTTGGAGGCGGGAAATAATTTCTGCTTTGTGTTCAAAAAACGTATCTTCACACAGATTGATGGATGAAGTTAGGGGGGCTTCTGGAGGCAGAGACTTAACACCGGGGGGGGGGGGGTCATCTCACTTGTTCACACTTGAATGTATGAAAGATTGAAGACAATTTCTATTAAATTAAACATGTCTGGCCCATACATGATTTGTGTTGTCTTAATTGCTTAAATTTGGGTGGGAGCTTCCGTGAGCGTCCGGTAAGTAAAAATAGTCATTTGTAGTGATGATATCTTGCTATAAAGCCAGGGTGACTTTGGCAGCAAATCTATAAAATGATACTATATATATATTGTGTCTTAATTCCTGCTTCCAGCATACTCCAATTATGTACATCACTTAGTTTAAATATTCAGAAAAATAGCTTCCCACTCTTGTCTCACTTGGGGCCCATCGTCCTTGGCAATAGAAGAAATTACAAACAAGAATTTTGGCAAAGCTGGAGGTAAGCACAAAGTGATGCAGGCACATAGTCTTCCCGAGGAAGGAAAACCTTTACAGTGGTATGTTATCATGCACAACAAGTTCGGAAGGGTGGCAAGGAAATCCTGGCAGGGAAGTTGGGGACATCCCATCATTTAACAACAAACCTGTCACACAACTTTCCTTACATGAGCTGGCTGCAGTGTAAAGCTGGTAACTGCCTCTAATGGACATCCATTTTAAAACACAACCAGTAATGGGTTGTGGTAGGTTTTTCCGGGCTATATGACCATGGTCGAGAGCAGGGGTCCTCAAACTATGGCCCAGGGGCCCTCCAAGGTCATTTACCCGGCTCTCACTCAGGGTCAACCTAAGTCTGAAATGACTTGAAAGCACACAACAACAATCCTATCTCATCAGCCCAAAGCAGGCCCACACGTATTGAAATACTAATAAGTTTATATTTGTTAAAATGGTACTTCATTTTAAATATTGTATTGTTTTCAAGTGGTTTTTTTTTTTTGCACTACAAATGAGATATGTGCAGTGTGCATAGGAATTCATTCATGCTTTTTACAAATTATAATCGGGCCCTCCAACAGTTTGAGGGGCTGTGACCTGGCCTTCTGTTTAAAAAGTTTGTGGATCCCTGGTCTAGAGGCATTCTCTCCTGACGCTTCGCCTGCATCTATGGCAAGCATCCTCACTACCTCTTATGGCATCCTCACTTGCCATAATGCAGGCGAAACGTCAGGAGAGAATGCCTCTAGACCATGGCCATATAGCCCGGAAAAACCAACAACAACCCAGTGATTCTGGCCATGAAAGCCTTTGACAATACATTGAACAACCAGTAATGTCACGGTGCAGTTTTATTCCTTTTGCCTCAGTTTAAACAATTCATGGCGAAAATGATGACAAATATATTTCAAGGGAAAGAGGCCTGCTTCTATTTGTCACTGAAATTTTTCAGAGCAAATGTGAATATAGTACTGGCAGTCCTCAGTTACGGACAAGATCGATTCTGCAGGTATAAGCTAAATTTGTAAGTTGGAACAGGTACATTTTTTAAGCTTGTCCTTTGATGTCTGTTTTGTGTATTTTAATACCTATTTTATAGAAACGCAATTTTAATGTTGATCTATAGAAATATGTGTATTTGTTGAATTTTTGCAATGTTCATGCTTTTTAATTGTGTTGTAACCCGGGTATATGGCTAGTTACATCTTCCTATAAATATGTAAATCTTCCTATAAATATGTATATATGTATATATATATATAAGCTTTGGATAGCATATTTTATTTATTTATTTATTTATAGCATTTATATTCCGCCCTTCTCACCCCGCAGGGGACTCAGGGCGGATTACAGTGTACACATATATGGCAAACATTCAATGCCAATTTTGACATACAAACATATACAGAGGCTATTTAACTTTTTCTGGCCGCCAGGGGAGCTGTCGCTTTCATCGTCCATCTGCGACACTGATGAAGTACTTCCGCATTCCCCGCATGCTTTTTTGCTGGAGTCTTTTTTATGGCCTCATAAATTAGTTAATTTAGCCTCCCCACACTTTAAGGTGGTACCTAATTTTCCTACTTGACAGATGCAACTGTCTTTCGGGTTGCAAAGGTCGACAACAGGCTACACAATTGGTTGGAAACCCACTCCAACCTGGGCTGGCTTCGAACTCATGACCTTTTGGTCAGAGTGATCTTAATGCAGCTGACACTCAGCCAGCTGCGCCACAATCCCGGTGCATAGGGAAGGATTAACACCTCTGGTTTTTCGGTGTTTTTTTCTTGCTGTCTGGGTCTCGCCTCACTTTTTGTCCCTGTGATCATTGGATTCTGAAAAATGTGGCTTGTGGAAACAAAGATTGGAGATAAAGATTCAGTGGAGAAATCCTTTCCCCATGATAACTTTCAGGGGTAGATTTCTCTTACTTCCTGATGTTTCATCCCAGTTCTTAACTATGAGTTATTTGTAAGTCATGTGTTTGTAACTCGGGGACTGCCTGTATATCATTACTTGTCCTCTCCCCATTGATAGCTCTGTGGATGAGGCTTGGGCCCCATCTATATTCCCATATATACTCCAAAGAGGAGCTTTTATGTGGGGCCCCACAAGTGGCCATTCTATCTCCAGTGTTCTTTAATACTGGTATTTACATGAAGCCACTGGGAGAGATCATCCATAAGCATTGGGCAGAGTGTTATCAGTATGCTGATGACACCCAAATATATTTCTTTCTAAACAGATTCAGTTAAGGATTCTGTGTCTCCACAGAACGAATGCCTGTAGCATGTAATGGGCTGGATGAAGAAAAACAAAACCTGACAAAACAGGTACTTGCCATCAAGCTGGGAGATGGAAGTTTGTCAGTTCTGGATGGAGTTACACTCCTGAAAGACGGCTTGCAGAATCGTAGAGTTGGAAGAGACCTCACAGGCCATCCAGTCCAACCCCCTGCCAAGAAGCAGGAAATGTGCATTCAAAACACCCCCAACAGATGGCCATCCAGCCTCTGTTTAAAAGCCTCCAAAGAAGGAGCCTGGATCCATCTCTCCAAATGTCAGTGCAGGTAGATGTGACAGGAGTATTTATTAGCTTTGGCTGATACACAAGCTGTGCTCCTTCCTAGATTTGGAGGACCTAAAGATGGTAGTGTCTGCACTGGTGACCTCATGTTGGACTTCTGCAATGTGCTTTACAATGGGCTACCCTTGTACCAAATTTGGAAACCAGCTAATTCAAGATGCAGCAGCCATCTAGGAGTGAACATATCACACCTATCCTAAAGTCACTCCACTGGCTGCCAATTAGTTTCTGGGAAAGTACAAGGTTTTGATCTTTAAAGCCCTACATGGTTTGAGTCCAGGTTACATAAAGGATCACCTTCTCCCATACAATGCACCCCACACACTTTGGTCTTCTGGGGGGCGTCTGCTCCAACCAGCTAGAACTCAACTGGCAACTACCACCCAGAGGATCTTTTCATCAGCCGCCCATGACTGTGGAACAACCCACCGGAAGAACTAACAGCTAAATGAGCTGTCAGAATTTAAAAACCATGTAAAGACCTATTTTTTCTGGCAAGCCTACTCAATCTAAACATGAATGTTAAGTGTCCTTTGTTTGATCTCTGTTTTGTGTGTTTTAGTATGTATTTGTAGATACGTTTTGGTGTGTAATTTTTATGAAGGTTCATTTTAGTGTTTTTGCTGTGTATTTTAATTGTTTTGTAACCTGCCTTGAGCCATAAGGAGAGGCGGGTAAGAAATATTATTATTATTATTATTTAATGCAGCTAAAAGTAGACTTGTATAACATGGTCAGTGGAGTTCAAACTGCAGAATATGGCAGTCTTTGATAGTTGTCCATTGCAGTTCTGAGACAAGATTTTATTTATCATGTCAGAAGGAATTGAGAATACAGTTATAATGTATGAAAAACCACAAACAAAGTTAAAACTTGGCATTATACTTAATTTCTTTTGACCAGAAGCTGGCCACTTCGAGTGCCTTCTGGTGTCCCTGTGAGAAGGCCCTCCACTGTACATGTGGCAGGGCTCAGACTGCATTGTAGTGAGTGGTCTGTGCTTTGCTCTTCTCCACACTTACATGTCATGGACTCCACTTTGTGGCTCCATTTCTTAAGATTGGCTCTGCATCTCCTGGTGCCAGAGCGCAGTCTGCTCAACGCTTTCCAAGTTTCCCAGTCTTTTGTGTGCACAAGAGGGAGTTTCTCATCCGGTATCAGCTGATTGAGATTCTGGATTTTAACCTGACACTTTTGGACTCTCACTTGCTGAGATGTTCCTGCAAGTATCTCTATAGATCTTAGGAAGCTATTTCTTATTTTAAAACTTTGTTATGTTGGCTAATACCTGAACGGAGGCTGGGCCGGAGATGTCAATGCCTTGGTCATTTCATTACCAGCTGCTACTTCCCAACAGATGTCAGGTGGTGCAATACCGGCGAGACAGTACAATTTTCTAGCAGTGTAGGGCATAGACATCCTGTGATAATATGGCATGTTTCATTAAGAGCCACATCCACTGTTTTAACGTGGTAGGATTTACAAGGGTTGGAACTTTAATAGTGGCAATACTGCTGTAAAGACGCCACACAACAAAACCAAAGAATGTCGCATGTACCACACGTTAGTTACATACCTACCTTAAATCTGAGCAAAAAGACATCATGCGCATGTGGAGTGACGCGAAGAACTGACCCTTGAATTAGCTTACGGTCTAAAGTAAGTGTTGTCACGATGTTTTCTAAACAACTCAGTTCTTATTACAAAAACATCGTGTCAACAATTACTTTAGACCGCAAGCTAATACAAATCTCAGTTTTTCGCATCTCTCCACATGCCCGTAATGTAGGAATGGCGAGTATTTTTGCTCAGAGGTAAGGTAGGTATGTAACTAATGTGTGGTATACGCAACATTCTTTGGTTTCGTTGCATGGCGTCTTTACAGCAGTGTTGCCACTATTAAAGTTCCAACCCTTGTATTGCACACTGGGCTGGAGATATCAATGCTCTGGTCCTTTCATTACAGGCTGCTATTTTCTGGCAGATGTCAAGGAGCTGCCACCACACTCCGGGGCAGAGAGTTCCACTGCTGAACAGCTGTCACGGTGAAGAAGTTCTTCCTAATATTCAGATGGAATCTCCTTTCTTGTACAGGATGAGGCAGCATAACTTCCTTTTTTAAAATGCGTACCATTCAGTCGGTTGAAGATGTGGTCTTGTTCGAGAGGCGGGAGTATAAATTTTTGTCCTGACACAGTTCTGTCGGCATCATGCGTTGGGACAGTGAGGAGCGTGCTTTTGCCATTGAGGCCTACTTTTTGAGCGGATTTGGAGTGGCCGGCCCGCTCTCCAGATTTGGCCCCTTGTGATTTTTTTCTATGGGTTTTTTGAAATCCCGTGTTTATGTGAACCGTCCAAGGACCCTACAAGATTTGAAGACCAACATCCAGGAAGAAATTGCCAACATAACGCCTGCTATGCTGGCAAGAGTCATGACAAACGCCAGAAATCGGTTTACTCAGTGTATGGAGAATGGGGGACGTCACCTACCTAATTTGATCTTCAAAACTATGTAAAACAAAACTTTAGGTATGCGCTTACATTACAAAAAATAAAATAAAAATTCTGATTCATTCAATGGGTTTTATTAAGTTTTGAAAAAAGGAAGTTATGCTGTGTCACCCTCTAGTTTGAAGCCATTGCTCTGCGTCCTAGTCTTCATGACAGCAGAAAACAAGCTTGCTCCCTCCTCCCTATGACTTCCTCTCACATATTTATACATGGCTATCATGTCTCCTAGAATCAAAGAGTTGGAAGAGACCTCATGGGCCATCCAGTCCAACCTCCTGCCAAGAAGCAGGAATATTGCATTCAAATCACCCCTGACAGATGGCCATCCAGACTCTGTTTAAAAGCTTCCAAAGGAGCCTCCACCACACTCCGGGGCAGAGAGTTCCACTGCTGAACGGCTCTCACAGTCAGGAAGTTCTTCCTCATGTTCAGTGGAATCTTCCGTCCTAGTCTCCAAGGAAGCAGAAAACAAGCTTGCTCCCTCCTCCCTGTGGCTTCCTCTCACATATTTATACATGGCTATCATATCTCCTCTCAGCCTTCTCTTCTTCAGGCTAAACATGCCCAGCTCCTTAGCCACTCCTCATAGGGCTTGTTCTCCAGACCCTTGATCATTTTAGTCGCCCTCCTCTGGATACACATTCCAGCTTGCCAATATCTCTCTTGAATTGTGGTGCCCAGAATTGGACACAATATTCCAGGTGTGGTCTATCAAAGCAGAATAGAGGGGTAGCATTACTTCCCTAGATCTAGACACTATGCTCCTACTGATGCAGGCCAAAATCCCATTGGCTTTTTTGCTGCCACATCACATTGTTGGCTCATGTTTAACTTGTTTTCCTCGAGGACTCCAAGATCTTTTTCAGACGTACTGCTCTTGTGCCAGGCATTGTCCCCCATTCTGTATCTTTGCATTTCGTTTTTTCTGTCTAAGTGGAGTATCTTGCCTCTCAACCTTCTCTTCAGGCTAAACATGCTCAGCTCCATAAGCCGCTCCTCATAGGGCTTGTTCTCCAGACCCTTGATCATTTTAGTCTCCCTCATCTCTCTTCAATTGTGGACTCCAAAATTGGACACAATATTCCAGGTGTGGTCTAACCAAGGCAGAATAGAGGGGGAGCATGACTTCCCTAGATCTAGACACTATGCTCCGATTGATCCATTGGCTTTTTTTGCCGCCACATCCCATTGTTGGCTCATGTCTAACTTGTTGTCCACGAGGACTCCAAGATCTTTTTCACACGTACTGCTCTGGAGCCAGCGTTCAGAACAGTCCCCTCAAAGCGCTGAGGTACAGCTTGCAATCCCTGGTCAATCGCTCCAAAGCAGTGGCGGGAAAAAGGATGCCCAGGAAGATTAACCCCCGCCCCCTCCCGCTGGCACACCACCCGGAAGTCAGACTCCCTCCTCAGCCTCCGACTCTATGGTCGTGAGCCACGCGCGTTGCTCCATTCGTCCTTCCCGCGTCACGTGGGGAGGGCCTGGCGGGCAACGGAAGTGGCGCCAAGGGGCGATTAAAATGGCGGCGGCGTGAAGTTGCATGTTGTGGTGGGGGCCCCCGCTGAGTCCGTTGGCAGGAACCGCCCGTCTTCTTCGCCGCCGCCTCTTGGGCCTTCGCTCCCGCCGCCATGGCGGTGACCGTCACCCTCAAGACCCTCCAGCAGCAGACCTTCAAGATCCGGATGGAGCCCGAAGAGACGGTGAGCTCCCTCCCTGCCTGGCGCCCTTCCCGAATTAGCCCTCCCGCTTCCACGGAACTCACATTGGGTGATTTTATTCTCCATGGTGCAGTGGGTTAATCCCTTGTGCCGGCAGGGCTGAAGACCAACAGGTCGCAGGTTCGAATCCGGGGAGAGCGTGGATGAGCTCCCTCCGTCAGCTTCAGCTCCCCATTGTGAGGACATGAGAGAAGCCTCCCACAAGGGTGGTAAAACATCAGAACATACGGGCGTCCCCTGGGCAGCGTCCTTGCAGACGGCCAATTCTCCCACACCAGAAGCGACTTGCAGTTTCTCAAGTCGCTCCTGACAGGACAAAAAAATATTTATTCTCCACTAGCCGTCCCTTGCCACACGTTGCTGTGGCCCACATAGGGGTACTGTGTGGGAGGTTTGGCCCAATTCTATCATTGGTGGGGTTCAGAATGCTCTGCGATTGTAGGTGAACTGTAAATCCCAGCAACTACAACTCTCAAATGTCAAGATGGGGGTCACCCAAGATCATCAGGAAACATAGTATTTTCTGTTGGTCATGGGGATTCTCTATGGGAAGTTTGGCCCAATTTTATCATTGGTGGGGTTCAGAATTGTAGGTGAACTATAAATCCCAGCAACTACAACTCCCAAATGTCAAGATTCGATTTTCTCCAAACTCCACCAGTGTTCATATTTGGGCATATTGAGTATTCATGTAGAGTTTGGTCCAGACCCATCATTGTTTGATTCCACAGTGATCTCTGGATGTAGGTGAACTACAACTCCAAAACCAAAGGACACTGCCCACCAAACTCTTCCAGTATTTTCTGTTGGTCACGGGAGAACTGTGTGCCAAGTTTGATTCAGTTCCATCGTTGGTGAGGTTCAGAATGCTCTTTGATTGTAGGTGAACTATAAATCTCCGTAACTACAACTCCCAAATGACAAAATCAATTTTTTTGAGTGAAGGACATACATTGGGTTGTTAGGCATATTCTGTCCAAATTTGGTGTCAATTCGTCCAGTGGTTTTTGAGTTCTGTTAATCCCACAAACGAACATTACATTTTTATTTATATAGATAGGAGTCCCCGGTGGCGTAATGGGTTAAACCCTTGTGCCAGCAGGACTGAAGACTGACAGGTCGCAGGTTCAAATCCGGGGAGAGCTTGGATGAGCTCCCTCCGTCAGCTCCAGCTCCCCATTGCGGGGACATGAGAGAAGCCTCCCACAAGGGTGGTAAAACATCAAAACATCCGGGCGTCCCCTGGGCAGCGATCTTGCAGATGGCCAATTCTCTCACACCAGAAGAGATTTGCAGTTTCTCAAGTCGCTCCTGACAAGACAAAAAAAATATTATTCTCCATAGTATTTATTTATTTATTTACCGTATTTGTATACCGCCTTTCTCAGCCTATCGGTGACTCAAGCTGGTTTCCAACAAAACAGTATACATAGTATCATAATACAATTTAAAACATTAAAATTACATAAATCACACAACAAGGCTGATCTGGCCGGGGTGGTTCATGCCTTGGTCATCTCTAGATTGGACTACTGTAATGCGCTCTATGTGGGGCTGCCCTTGAAAACGGCTCGGAAATTCCAACTGGTCCAACGGGCGGCGGCCAGGTTGTTAACTGGTGCCAGGTTGTTGATTTATTTATTTTATTTATTTACTTTATTTATATACCGCAGTTTCTCAGCTCGTAGGCGACTCAACGCGGTTAACAACAAGAGCAAAAATTCAATACTAACAACATACACTATTTAAAAATAATTAACACCGTAATATACTGAGTAATTACACATCAATAGACAACACATTAACATCTCATAACTAGAATCGTGATCCAACTCGTCAGCCGTAATTCCGTTTTCCTATGTTCATTATATTCATAGCACTGTTAACTGGTGCTCCTTACAGGGAGAAGTCAACCCTCCTGTTTAAGGAGCTCCATTTGCTGCCGTTCATTTTCCGGTCCCAATTCAAGGTGCAGATGCTTACCTACAAAGCCCTAAATGGTTTGGGACCTGCCTGCCTGCGTGACCGCATCTCCGTATATGAACCCACACGATCCCTCCGTTCATCTGGAGAGGCCCTGCTCGCGATCCCACCTGCGTCGCAAGTGCGTTTGGTGGGGACGAGGGACAGGGCCTTCTCTGTGGTAGCCCCCCAGCTCTGGAACTCTCTCCCCAAGGACATCAGACAAGCCCCAACATTGGCAGTCTTTCGGAAGAGCTTGAAGACCTGGCTGTTCCAGTGTGCCTTTCCAGAATAGGAAACTCCCAGCATCATGTCCCAAACGCACTTTACTAGAGATTTAAGATTGCCTGAACATCGCACCTACCCGAAAATCCTTATGTTTCACCTGTCATGTCCAGCACTTTTAATTTTAGTCATTACATTTGACCCGGCCCTAGTTTTAAATGTGTTATGATGTATTGTTTTTAATGTTTTATTGTTATTGCTTTAATGTTTATTGATTTGCTTTATGAGTTTTAGTGTTGTATTTGTTATGCTGTGTTTATTGAGGGCCTTGGCCTTTGTAAGCCGCATCGAGTCCTTCGGGAGATGTTAGCGGGGTACAAATAAAGTTAATATCCTCCTCTGGACACATTCCAGCTTGTCAACATCTCTCTTCAATTGTGGTTCCCAGAATTGGACACAATATTCCACGTGTGGTCTAACCAAGGTAGAATAGAGGGGTAGCATTACTTCCCTAGATCTAGACACTATGCTCCTATTGATGCAGGCCAAAATCCCATTGGCTTTTTTGCCGCCATCACATTGTTGGCTCATGTTTAACTTGTTGTCCACGAGGACTCCAAGATCTTTTTCACACATCTTGCTCTCGAGCCAGGCATCCCCCATTCTGTATCTTTATATTTCATTTGTTTTCTGCCTAAGTGGAGTATCTTGCATTTGTCACTGTTGAACTTCATTTTGTTAGTTTTGGCCCATCTCTCTAATCTGTCAAGATCGTTTTGAATCCTACTCCTGTCCTCTGGAGTATTGGCTATCCCTCCCAATTTGGTGTTCACTATCTTGTTGATAAAAAAAGACTTCAAGGATCCCTTCAGATTCCTAAAGCTGGGTGAATTATGGAAACATACATTTGGGAGCCCACTTTCGGTATTGTAATAGACATGGGTATTCTCTTGAAATAGGAAATGGTAGCTTACACTGTACCTAATAATGGGGGGAGGGAGGCTGATTTCCTTTGCCTTTTCCTTTGTATTTCTGCCCCTGCCACCCTATATGAGAGCCATGCGTGACTTAGGACCTTTTACTCTAGCACTTAAAACCTGGCTTTTAACTAGAGCATTCGATCTCTGTTAATTTTTAATTTCTGTATGTATGTATTTTATCTTTTACAATTTAGCTGTAAATTGCCTAGAGCATTCTCGGATGGAGGGTGATTAATAAGTAATTAAATATTATGATGATGAGGAGGAGAACAAAGGAATTATGATGTTATGTGTTCACGTCCCACCTTTGCAGGGATGGCAGACAGCAATCTTGCTTTCCTAAAGATTTTTAGAACCAAGGCCAATCTAAACCAGTTTCTTAACAGTGGGAATGAACACAGTTCTTTAAGCATTAGTTGTGTGTAAACGGCCACATTGCCAAAGATTGTGGCAGGAAGCAGTTTGTCTCTGTCGGTAGAGAGCATGTGGTTGAACCAGCTTCCTCTTGACCTGCAGGTCCGAGTTCTTAAGGAGAAGATTGAAGCTGAAAAGGGCAAGGAAGCTTTCCCAGTCTCGGGCCAGAAGCTTATCTATGCTGGCAAAATTCTGAGTGACGACGTCCCCATCAAGGAGTATAAGATTGATGAAAAGAACTTTGTGGTGGTAATGGTCACTAAGGTATGCTTCTCTTACCACAGGTGGTTATTTCTGCTTCAGCGGTTAACACTTGCAGTGCTGGAAAATAGAAAGTATGTTTCTGCTAGTGCAACTATTAGCTAGTTCATTGTGTCACATTTGCAATAGCTAGTCCATGAAAGGTGACACTGAAAATGCCATGGCATTTTACTACTGATTCCTAGAGGGAGTTCTCTAGATCACACACTCATAAAGTGCAGTTTGTTTAACTTATTCTGCAAATTGTGATGTCAAGGACTGCGTTGTATTCTCGCTAAAATCATTTCTTGATTTTCTCTTCAGAACAAAGCAGGCTTAGGAGCTCCTGCTCCTTCACCTAGTGAGGCCACGTCCACGTCCGAACCCACGCCATCTTCTGGGCAGACACAACTGCCCACAACGGCAGTTGTCTCACCCCCACCAGCTGCCCCATCAGGTGACGAAAAGCCTCCTGAAGAGCCAGTAACTATTCCCCCACAGGAATCCACAGTTAGGTAAGTTCACCTTTTTCTGGCATCCTCAACAATTTTCAAGCTGTTGGGACGCATCTTTGAAATGGTCTTATGGAGGGAGCAATTTTAGACCTTAAAATACCATAATGCGGCACTGTTTGTATTTTGAGGCTTCTGAGAAAATAACATCTGCTTACTCATATAGAACAGATGATACTGGAATGGAGAAATAGAACAATTTGAAGTCAGTAGGGTCCTCTGGCTATTAGATTTTTGTTCCATGTTTTCCTTTAACATCGAAGCCCCATTCCCAGTTTACTTTGAAATCTACTTAGCAGGGACCCACACCAAAAGTGACCCATGTCCTACCCTGAGAAAGAAAGAGGAAGCCAGGGATCTGTGACATTTGATTGAATTTCAAGGTACAGCTATGGTTGGTAACTGGCTTTATGAGACAGCTGTAAAGAGGACACTTGAAAGGATGCAACAAGGTCCATAAGATCACTTGGTCCAAAGAGACAGCCTCTTCTTATAGCCTGCTGTCTCAAAACTTTATGACTTTTGTCAGGATTAATAGAACCATAGAATCATTATGTTGGAAGGCACCTCATGGGTCATCCAGTTCAACCCACTTCTCTGGGGAAATTCCTTGAGATCTGACAGTTTTATTAGAAATAACAGTCATAGAATCAGAGAGTTGGAAGAGACCTCATGGGCCGTCCAGTCCAACCCCCTGCCAAGAAGCAGGAACATTGCATTCAAATCACCCCTGACAGATGGCCATCCAGCCTCTGTTTAAAAGCTTCCAAAGAAGGAGCCTCCACCACACTCCGAGGCAGAGAGTTCCACTGCTGAACGGCTCTCACAGGAAATTCTTCCTCATGTTCAGATGGAATCTCCTCTCTTGTAGTTTGAAGCCATTGTTCCGCGTCCTAGTCTCCAAGGAAGCAGAAAACAAGCTTGCTCCCTCCTCCCTGTGGCTTCCTCTCACATATATACATGGCTATCATATCTCCTCTCAGCCTTCTCTTCTTCAGGCTAAATATGCCCAGCTCCTTAAGCCGCTCCTCATAGGACTTGTTCTCCAGACCCTTGATCATTTTAGTAGCCCTCCTCTAAAATGATCAAGGGCCTGGAGAACAAGCCCTAGGAGGAGCGGCTTAAGGAGCTGGGCCTGCACCTATTGACTTGTGAGGGTATGAGAGGGATGGGAATTTTGTAGGGAAGCCCGCAGTTTGCTGCTTAGGGAATTGTCAACTCTTCAATTTTCTTGTCCAGTTATCTGGAAGGACCCAGCTACTATTTCTCTCTCTTAAATTTGCAGCTCTATTCCCCCTTCAGGTAGCATGGGACGTGAAGATGACGCAGCGTCCACTTTAGGTAGGTGAGCACCTTTCCTACACTTGCTACAAGAGCAAGTTCTGAGCTGTTTAGCTGCAGGTTGTTCTTTATCATCGGGACTATGCTATTCCTTTTCCTTTGATAAATCTCTAGTGTCCAAGATGTATTTAGCTTATTGAACACAGAGATTTGTTTATTAGATGCTGCCCTCTGGTGGTCACTACTGGTTAAAACACCTTTCCTTCAAATAATGCTGAAATAGAAATGAAATATGCAGTAAAGCTGTTTTCAGCTTAGCTGCGAAGATTCAACAGTGGTTTATAGTTAGAATATCTCCACTACTTTTTGGGGGGTTTTTTTAAGGAAGGAAGTAGTCCTGTGCTGAAGGTTTAGGTTAAAGGTGAATGATGTGCCTGGAAAAGCTGCAGACTTCTGCCATAGTTGAAACCCTTGTTGGGCAATTTGCTTCTTCATCGATAGAAGGCTCTCAGTGGATCTCATTTCAGGTCCCAAACACTGCTGTCCATCATGGATATCTTGGCATACATCCAATATATCAGTGATATATTCCCTGCACCAGATGACCCACCTGCAACTTAGCTTGTTTGAGCATGTTGTGGCTTTTATCGAAGGAGCAGGACTTGTACTTCTGGTCTGTGATCAAAATAAATTGAACCAAAACTTCAGATAGTCTAAACCAGGGGTCCTCAAACCTTTTAAACAGAGGGCCAGGTCACAGTCCCTCAAACTGTTGGAGGGCCGGATTATAATTTGAAAAAAAAAAACATGAATGAATTCCTATGCACACTACACATATCTTATTTGTAGTGCAAAAAACACTTAAAAACAACACAATAATTAAAATGAAGAACAATTTTAACAAATATAAACTTATTAGTATTTCAATGGGAAGTGTGGGCCTGCTTTTGGCTGACAAGATAAGGTTGTTGTTGTTGTGTGCTTTCAAGTCGTTTCAAACTTAGGTTGACCCTGAGTGAGGGCCAGGTAAATTACCTTGGAGGGCCGTATCTGATCGCCTTAGTTTGAGGACCCCTGTCTTAGAGTTATGCTAAGAAGTTTGTCTTGCTGCTCTTTCTGGAAGAGGATTAGTGACTGAAATTTGGATGTTTCTTATATGCCTTCCAGTTCAGGGCATTTGAGGAGAGACAGACTTAAATCTTAAAATTGTTTTTAGTTATCAGAAGAGTTATGGATTTAGAAATGGGAATTTAGTTTGGGGTGCCTGAAATACAAGACATAACTCTTGGTATGTGGAGGCTGCAATTACTCATGGCACTGTGGCTGGTAATGGCAAGTTGGTTTGTTGCCTTCTAGTCCAGCGTCCCATCCTGCTGTTCTCCCCATATTCAGAGACCTGCTCATAATATATCTTCCTCTGATGCAAAACTCTCTTCCAATTCTGCTCCCAGTTACTGGCTCAGAGTATGAGACGATGCTGACAGAAATCATGTCCATGGGCTACGAGCGAGAGCGGGTAGTGGCAGCACTGCGGGCCAGCTACAACAACCCCCACCGTGCTGTGGAGTACCTGCTAACGGTGAGGAGATTGATTAGGCAAATCCTACCAAGTCCACCAAGATGATTTCCTCCTGTTTTTCAAGCAAAGTGTGGTTTTATGGATCCTGCCTTTCTTCCCCTTGTGTCACTGGCTGTCATCATTTTCTATACTCTGTGCCACATGTCTTATTACTAGATTGAATCATGCAAGATAGGCACACAAGGCTTTCCACACCATGGCAGACCTATTCCCTTGAAGGCCAACTGCATAATGGATGTCCTACCTCTGTTCATGCCCAGCGTTTATTTTTAAATTTTAAACTATTACATTTTGCCTGGCCACAGGTTTTTAAATCCTTGCGTGTTATTGTTTATATGTGATTTATATTAATTGTATTGTTTTATTTGCTTATTGCTTTTTGTTTTATTATGTGTTGTCGGGCTTGGCCTCATGTAAGACACTCAGAGTCCCCTCGGGGAGATGGTGGCAGGGTATAAATAAAGTATTATTATTATTATTATTATTACTATTATTATTGTTGTCTAGCTTTGTGCATGACACACACTCTTGGCTTTATGCTTCTGAAGAAATAGAGGAGGACTATGGAGTGTCATCCTATGAAAGAACATGCCTTTAGAAACAGTTCTTTGGTTAGTTCAGTAACATTCAAAGAGCTAATTTATTTATTATTTTATTTACTACATTTATATACCACTTGCCTCCCCCTGAGGGAACTCAAAGTGGTTTCCAACATAATAAAGGCAAAATTGAATGCTGTACATACATGTGAAAACCAAAACATAATAGCTAGACAATAACATCTATATAAATAAAAATGTAATTTTCGTTTGTGGTATTGACAGAACTCAAAAACCACTGGACAAATTGACACCAAATTTGGACAGCATATATCTAACAACCCAATGTATTATTATTATTATTACTATTATTATTATTAAACTTTATCTGTACCCCGCTAGCATCTCCTGAAGGACTCGATGTGGCTTACAAAGGCCAAGGCCTCAACAACACAATAGCATAACAATACAATTCAAAGCCAATCAAAAACATTAAAGCAATAACAGTAAAAACAACAAAACAATACAGCATAACACAATAAAAACCGGGCTGGGCCAAGTAATGGGTACAGATTAAAAAGTGCTGGATGTGACAGGTGATCTACCGGATTTCAAGGAAGTGCAGTGTGCAGAGAATCTTAAAGTTCTGATAAAGTGCTTCTGGGACTCTAATAAAGTGCTTACTGGAGTTTTCCTATTCTGGGAAGGCACATCGGAACAGCCAGGTCTTCAAATTATTCCTAAAGACTTCCAGTGTGGGGGYCTATCTAATGTCTTTGGGGAGAGTGTTCCAAAGTCGGGGGGCCACCACAGAGAAGGCCYTGTCCCTCGTCCCCACCAAACGCGCCTGCGATGCAGGTGGGATCGYGAGCAGGGCATCTCTGGATGAACGAAGAGWGGGCGTGGGTTCATACACTGAGATGCGGTCATGCAGGTAGGCAGGTCCCAAACCGTTTAGGGCTTTGTAKGTAAGCACCTGCACCTTGAATATGTCCTTCACTCAAAAAAAWWTTGATTTTGGGAGTTGTAGTTGCTGGGATTTATAGTTCACCTACAATCAAAGAGCATTCTGAACTCCACTAATGATGGAATTGAACCAAACATGACATGCAGGRCTCCCATGACCAACCTAAAACACTAGAAGGGTTTGGTGAGCATTGACTTTGACTTTGGGAGTTGTAGTTCACCTGCATCCAGAGAGCACTGTGGACTCAAACAATGATGGATCCGGACCAAACTCTACACGAAGGCTCAATATGCCCAAATGTGAACACTGGTGGAGTTTGGGGGAAATAGAATCTTGACATTTGGGAGTTGTAGTTGCTGGGATTTATAGTTCACCTACAATTACAGAGCATTCTGAACTCCACCAATAGTAGAGTTGGGCCAAACCTCCCACACAGAACCCCCATGACCACCAGAGTGGGCCACAGCAAGGCGTGGCAGGGGATGGCTCGTGCAACTATAAATTAAAAACCTAACCGTATTAAAGCATAAAATAACATTTGGACATAAAACATAAAAATTAAAACATCGATAATACAATAACATTTATATTAAAAACCCACCTGTGAACAATTTAATACAGTTATGAAAAGCATGCCATTCAAAATCAAATCCGTGGTCGTTCCATTGGTCCATTCACTATTCCTTATTTCCATACTGCACTAAGAACTGTCTAAAAGCTTGGTCACATAACCACATTTTTACTTTATTTCTGAAGGTCAGGAGTGAGGGGGCTGCTCTAATTTCACTAGAGAAGGAGTTACATAGCTGAGGGGCCATCACTGAGAAGGCCCTGTCTCTCATCCCCACCAGTCGCACTTACGAGGAAGGTGGGATCGAGAGCAGGGCCTCCCCAGATTATTTTAATCTTCGAGGTGGATCATAGAAGGAGAAACGTTCCGGCAGGTAAGCTGGGCCGAAACTGTTTAAGCCTTTACAAGCTAAAGGCAGCACTTTGAATTGTGCTCAGTAGCAGACTGGCAGTCAGTGGAGCTGGTGTAACGGGAGTTGCATGCTCCCTATACGCTGCCCCAGTTAGAAATCTGGCTGCAGCCCATTGGACCACTTCTGAACAGTCTTCAAAAGCAATAATGGTTTGAGTAAGGGATATTCTGCTTCAATAATGGCATCTCTGATTGAGTTGCAAAGTGGAAGTGTCATATTGGGGCCCCATGGGGGCTTGGAAAGTTACATTTTCTGCCTTACCCCTCTATAGTTTTTTTTAACCTTTTAATATTTGGGCAACAATTTCATCATTTTTCTCCCAATATAGCTTCAGGCATGTCTTGGGCAACCTCTGGGTGTTAGAAAGACGTTTTGACCTTCATAGCACTCTCCCCAGATCCTCCTAATGCTGCCAGGAGGCCTGACGGGCAATTTTAGCATATATATTTTTGGCCCAAAAGAAGCAACCCTAGTGGACTGGGGGCCCATCCAGACAGACCCAAAAACTGTGATCTCAGTTTTTATCGGAGATTTCGTTTGGACAAATTAATTCCAAATTAATTAGATGCCCCATTCGATCTGGGCCTTCCTGAAAGATCCCGGTCTAATGAGGTATTGGGCCTGTGGAAACTCACTCCCGGCACTACTCGGGGGTGAGTCTCCACTGCCATCTCGCACATTTTGTAACTAGTGGATTTTAACGTCAAGATAAGTGATTTTAATGCTTTTGTATGTGTATGGTCTAATATGTTTTAGCATTGAATGTTTGCCATTTATATGTTGTGCTCCGCCCTGAGTCCCCTTCGGGGTGAGAAAGATGGAATATAAATAAATAATAAATTTTGGGCACCTGGAGTCTAAAGGTGCAGGTTGGCACCTCCCCTGAAGCAAGCCCAGAAAAAGGTCTTCTGGAAACAAAAAATGATGTGCAAGAAGACCGCGGAGGAGTGGGGATTTTGTTCATTGCCTGTCCCATCTCCTTGCATGTAATTTTCTAGCACCAGGTATATACTCGTAGCCAGAACTCAGCATAGAGCAGAGTATCATATACCACTGAGCCAAAAACCTGTATCTCCCAAGGAGAACAAATTCTCAAGTGTCTAACTTTTCCACCAGAAGAAGGCCTGAAGTAAGGCCGAATCCGGTCGTGGGCGGCTGATCTATAAGCTACTCAACAAAAGAAGATACGACATTGATATTATTCTAAAGAGACTGTACCAAAATTTACATAATATTGTTTGACATCACTGTGAAATTGAACAGTACAACATGTCTATATAACTACTTGCTGAATTCTATTATTGTTTACTTTATGTGTAAGTGGTAATTTTGTTGTATGTACATATTTAGGAACCCATTTATATTATGTCTAATTTATGAGCCAGTAGCAGACACTACCCACCCCCCTTTTAACTTTGATGAATTGCTCCAGTATCTATTTATCCCGACTTCAGCAGTATATGTGAGATCAGAAGTCTTGGGGCCTAGGCATGATTGTATTCATGTTTACAGTCTCATGGTCACACTTAAAGCTTGTGGCAGTGTTTTTTATGCTATAAATACAGTGTTGAAAAACATGGCTTGCAAATGGTTCTACTAATTTTATTTATTTATTTTGCTTTTCAGGGCATCCCCGGTAGCCCAGAACCAGAGAGAGGTCCCATCCAGGAGAGCCAGCCTCAAGAGCAACCAGTACCAGAAGGTAGGTTGTTTTTCGCTGCCTCCATTGAGAAAAATTCCAGGAGTGGAAGGCCTGTGGAAAGTAATCGGGTAGATAATTAGATCCCAGTTATTGCTGCCATGGTGGAAAAGTGCTGGCCACTGCAGAAGAGTTAATAGCACAACCACTTCTGCATGACCACATCTCCGTATATGAACCCACACGATCCCTCCGTTCATCTGGAGAGGCCCTGCTCACGATCCCACCTGTGTTGCAAGCGTGTTTGGTGAGAAAGACGAGGGACAGGGCCTTCTCTGTGGTAGCCCCTCGACTCTGGAACTCTCTCCCCAAGGACATCAGACAAGCCCCAACGTTGGCAGTCTTTAGGAAGAGCTTGAAGACCTGGCTGTTCCAGTGTGCCTTTCCAGAATAGGAATCTCCCAGCATCATGTCCCAAACACACTTTGTTAGAGATTTAAGATTGTCTGCACATTGCACCTACTCTAAAATCCTTACATTTCACCTGTCATGTCCAGCACTTTTAATTTTATTACATTTGGCCCAGCCCTTAGTTTTAAATGTGTCATGATGTTATTGTTTTAATGTTTTACTGTTATTGCTTTAATGTTTATTGGTTGCTTATGAGTTTTATTGTGTATTTATTATGCTGTTGTTTTATTGAGGGCCTTGGCCTTTGTAAGCCGCACCGAGTCCTTCGGGAGATGTTAGCGGGGTACAAATAAAGTTGGTAATAATAATAATAATAATAATAATAATAATAATAATAATAATTCTCCAAGTCCTTATCTTCTGTTTGATGCTTTTTTGGTGGGTGAGGTGCATGTCATTAACAATCCTTTGGCTTACAGGAGAGAATCCTTTGGAGTTTCTACGAGACCAGCCCCAGTTCCAGAACATGCGGCAAGTGATCCAGCAGAACCCAGCCCTTCTCCCAGCCCTGCTTCAGCAGTTAGGCCAAGAGAACCCTCAGCTGCTGCAGGTAACAGAAACGGAGGGGCTTGCTTTCTTTTTGGGGAAAGAACTGCAACAACCACAGCACCTGGTTTTGAGTGAGAAGCCTAGCTTTGTCTCCATGGTCAGGAAAAGGATGCCACAAAAAACAACTAAGGGAAGGGTTGTTGTAGGTTTTTTCAGGCTATATGGCCATGTTCTAGAGGCATTATCTCCTGACGTTTTGCCTGCATCTGTGGCAAGCATCCTCAGACCTCACAACCTCTGAGGATGCTTGCCATAGATGCAGGCGAAACGTCAGGAGAAAATGCCTCCAGAACATGGCCATATAGCCCGAAAAAACCTACAACAACCCAGTGATTCTGGCCATGAAAGCCTTCAACAATAAACTAAGGGAAGCATACTTCCCATATTCTCTCTGGGTTTTTGTTTGTCTTATTAGTATCCCAATAGAAGTAGAAGGCAGATTGGAGCATATCTGCCTCCTTCATCTTTTAACTAGACAGCTTCACTTCTGCAGCTGTGTCCGCCAACTCATGATGGCTTTGGCCACTATAACTGTGCCCTGGTGTTTTTAGTGAGTGTATGATGCCCCAGAGTTCTTCCATTAAAGTAGATGTTGGCAACTGTGGCTTGAGGGTAGTTTTCTGCCCCAGGACTATCCGTTGCCTGTGTAGGTGGTCAAAACAAAATAAACAAAACTGGTGACAAGAAATCAACTTCTAGGTTAGAAAACAAAAAGGTTTTTTATTAAATTATGACAGAGGTTGTAATTTACTTTATATACTTGAGTACAAGTTGGATTTTTCAGTGTTTTTTTTAGGTTGAACCCCACACACACACACCCCAGCATTTACATTAATCAAGGTTATTTATTATTTTTCTTCTTCTTCCATTTATTATTTTACTCTGTTTATTTTTACATTTATATTATTTTACTCTATTATTGTTCTTATTAATATATTTATTAATTTACTCTATTATTACTGTTATTATTACATTTACATTATTTTACTCTATAGTTATTATTTTTATTACATTTATTATTTTACTCTATTATTATTAGAAGGATACGTAAGCACATTTACATTGAAGAAGGTTAGAATAATGATTTAATCAGAGTTGGACTGTCTTATCTTACAGTTTTATGTATGTAAATATTCAAAAACATTTAATCTACTGATGCCTCCATTAATATAATTTTATTATTATCTATTTTTTGTTTTGAAAGTTATCTGTAGCTGCTGTATTTCCCACCCTCGGCTTATACTCGAATCAATAAGTTTTCCCAGTTTGTTTTTTTTTGTGGTAAAAGTGCCTCAGCTTATACAGGGTGAGGCAGCATAAATTCCTTTTTTCAAAACTTAATAAAACCCATTGTATGAATCAGAATTTTTAAATTTTTTTAATAATGTATAGGTGCATACCTAAAGTTTTGTTTTACGTAGTTTTGAAGATCAAATTAGGTAGGTGATGTCCCCCATTCTCTATTCCCCATACACTGAGTAAACTGATTTCTGGCTTTTGTCATGATTCTTGCCAGCATAGGAGGTGTTATGTTGGCCATTTCTTCCTGGATGTTGGTCTTCAAATCTTGTAGGGTCCTTGGACGGTTCACATAAACACGGGATTTCAAAAAACCCATAGAAAAAAATCACAAGGGGCCAAATCTGGAGAGCGGGCCGGCCACTCCCAATCCGCTCGAAAAGTAGGCCTCAACGGCAAAAGCACGCTCCTCACTGTCCCAACGCATGATGGCGACTGAACTGTGTCAGGACAAAACTTTATACTCCCGCCCTCTCGAACGAGACCACTAGCGCTCCACTACATCTTCAACCAACGGAATGGTGCACATTTTAAAAAAGCAAGTTATGCTGCCTCACCCTGTATATGGGTCAGCTTATACTTAAGTATATATGGTACTTGAAATGGAATTATAGCATCTAAGAGTTTCCAGGAGTGGCGGTTCACACCACTATCACCCCAATCCCATTATTTGGGCAGAAGGAGGGTAGCCTGGAGGGCTTAAGGGCTCCAAAAGCAGATTATGCTTGCCCACCCATTCTTACCAACCATTCTGTTTCAGCATCTTCCTTGTTCTGTGGATTTGTCTATCTTAGGCCTTAGCTGGGGTTGGGAAGTGGTGGTCCCTTTGCTATTGTCAATATAGATGAGCAAACTGAAACAGCAGGTGCAGTGTGTGGTGGGACTAGAGGAGAGGGTCCTAAGGACAACAATGCTGGACTGTAGTGAGGAACTCAAGCCTAGTAAATGAGCTGTAAGGCATTTCCCTCCAGTTGTCACCTCAGCCTTCCTCCAGGTTGGAAACTATTCTTAGAAAGGTCCTCTGGAGAAGTTTGGCATTCCGGTATTACCCAACACTAAGGAGTAGGCATATGCACAGTGCTTGATAACCATCTTTGTTCCTCTTCCAGCAAATCAGCCAGCATCAGGAACAATTCATTCAGATGCTAAACGAACCCCTGGGAGAAATGGCCGACATTGCAGATATTGAAGGAGAGATGGGTGCTATTGGAGAAGAAGCTCCTCAGATGAATTACATCCAAGTCACACCTCAGGAAAAAGAAGCCATTGAAAGGGTAAAATTGTAGGATTTGAGTAACAGATGTTTAACTTTACCTCTAATACAATTGGCCCTCCATATTTGCAGGGTTAGTGGTGCAGGAACAAGGGAAAAATGGGAAAACCACAAATACAGTGGGGGGAAAGTTAGCTGTGGAGCCGGCAAGTGTGGTGGAGTCTCCCTGGAGGACTGGAAAAATGTGTTCCACAATCACTCCACTTTCTCCTAGTGCCGCTGCATGGACATTCACACACCGACTCTGAGGAAGAGGAAGGGAGGAACAGGCATTTGCAATCCCTGCCCCTTTTCTCGATGCCTGAACTGATGGGCCTCTGGATAAAGGGGAAAGGGGACAAACAATTGCAGTCACCACCAATCTCTCCTGAAGCTTGGGCTGCTGTTTGAACATCATATGTACATTCCTACAGCAGCCCTCACCTTAGGATAGAGGGATGGTGAGTGATCACAACTGTGTGAATGATGTCACATAGCAGTCCTGCACTTTGGAAGGAAGGTTGCTGTTACTCTGTCCTTCTGTCTTATCCCCTCCTCACAGAGCAGAAGCAATATTTATTTATTTATTTACTTACTTACTTACTTCATTTATAAATCGCTTTTCTCAGCCCTCGGGCGACTCAAAGCGGTTAACAATAGCAAAAATTCAATGCTTGACATAATAGAAAAACAGTTAAAAACGATTAAAAATAGTAACATAATAAACAGTTAAACATCAGTATAACATCTCATTAGCGTCCCAAACAAAATCAAGATCCAATCTCATCATCCGTTGTTCTGTATTCCTATGTTCATTACACTGCCTATTCAAACGCCTGCTCAAACAACCAGGTCTTCACTTTCCTCCGAAATGCCAATAGGGAGGGGGTCGATCTAATTTCTGTAGGAAGGGCGTTCCACAGCCGAGGGGCCACCACTGAGAAGGCCCTGTCTCTCGTCCCCGCCAGACGTACCTGTGATGCAGGCGGGACCGAGAGCAGGGCCTCCTCAGATGATCTTAATGTCCTAACTGGTTCATGGGAGGTGATACGTTCGGACAAGTAAGTTGGGCTCCCTTTGGCAACTGCCCCAGGGAGCCAATTCACTGATTTTATTTGAAGTAAGATCTTTCCAGTTTCTGAGCTTTCCCAAAACAACTTTTCCTGACTTCCTTAATCGTTTCTGAGTAGAACTTTGGCACAATTTTTTACTATTACTAAGAAGACTCAAGGTCCGTAAATATAATTCTGAGACCCTTAATATAGTTAACAGGTGGCTTTATGACTGAGTACATCTTCTATTTTTAAAAAATGGGGTTGGGACACTCTTTAACATATACAAATGCCAATGCTGCTGCTCGCTTTGGTTTGTACAGAATCACAGTTCTCAAACTTGGGTCTGTCAATGCTGCTCGATTCCAGTTCTTGAAATTTCCTTGCCACTGGCCGTGCTAGCTGAAAATTCTAGTGATTGACGCCAGCATCTAGGGACCTATATTTGAGAAACATGCTGTAGAATGATACGCAGGATACAGTGGAATGGATAGGCCTTGCAGTTTAACTTTTGGATGCTGTTTAGTGTCAAAAGTGTAATTTTGAATAGTGGGTTAAGTTAGGTTTTAATAACTACTTGTATTGGTTTTTAGTTTCGATTTTATAATTTTGTTGAAGTTTGAAGTGTACAACCCCTTGGGTTGATGTGAATGTACCGGGACTGGGTCCCCATGTTGTGATCTGGTCATCAACCGTAATAAACTTTACATAGTGTGTGACACTGTGCAGTTACCAAACCATGTGCAGATGCAGTAGGTTAGGACACTCCCTAATGCTTTTTTGCAATTGGGTAGCTTTCCCCAGGTTGCAATCATAGGGCTAATGACCTATCAATCGTCATTAGAGCCTTTAGATCCACCCTTTTCCCCAAGTTTGGAGGGAAAAGGGGACTTTTAGTTCAGTCTCACAGTTTGGAGCCCTACTGTAGGATGTGTGGGCTTTTCTCTACAGTGGTAGAAAACAAGGTCAGTAGGAAATCTTTATTTTGGTTGTTAATTTGAATGTTATTTTAATGTTTTCCTGTTCTCTCTCTTTCTCCCCCTCCCCCCCCCTCCCAGTTAAAGGCCCTGGGCTTCCCCGAGAGCCTGGTGATCCAGGCATATTTTGCTTGTGAGAAGAATGAGAATCTGGCGGCCAACTTCCTGCTGAGTCAGAACTTTGATGATGAATGATAAAGGAAAAGAGTTTTATATAAAATTCTCTATATAAATATTCGTTTATTTAAAGGGGCACTACTTGGGCTGGGGATGATATGATTTTAGAATATCCCAGATGAATTGCTGGCTGGAGGAGAATACTCTAGCTTAGAAACTGAGCAGTGGAGAAAAAAAAAAGCAGAATAAATGGACCTTCTCTTCCCTCCCCCCTAAAAACAACAAACAACCCATCAGCGACTGTATTTGAGCCCAGCTGCATCCCACAACAGTGCTTGGACTGGCAGGCAGAGTGTTCAGGGAAAGGTTGACACAGCAGATGGGTTCTATTGGACCTTCTCCCATCTGAGCTGATTGCGTGTGTGCAAACAGATTGCTCTTTTGTTTGCAAATCTCCCCCCGCCAGCGCACAGTACTAAAGCCTAAATATGTCTATGCCTGTCAGCTAATTCTTTCCACCCCTGGCCCTTGAAATATGCCCAGTTGTCCATCTCTGTTCCAAAGAGCTGTGCGTCCTAGGTGGCTGACTTGCCTTCAGATGATATTTTTGAGAGCTGTGCCTACGTTGAAGAGGCAAAGCTCTACATTAAAGAGGCACGGCTCTGCATGGTGGGGAAATATTTTGTGATATTGCACACAGACACAGCACATTTCCCTATGCTGTTGCTGCCTCTGTCTCCATCGTCTGTTAGGCACTTCTCACCTTGAACCTGCAGCTCTCTGACACTGTCTTTCAGTTTACTCTCACAAGAAATTTTCTGAATCTTTGATTTTTTTCCCCGTTTTCTGTGACAGTACAGGGTTTTGGCCAGCTGCTCTGCACTACCAGAAATATGGCTGAATTACCTTTAAAATCTCTTCTGAAGTTGCTTAAGCAAGGTTTTCAAGATTCAACACTCATGTAATTTATTGCTCAATATAGTTTGATTTTCAGTCATTTAATTTTAAGCTTTTGAAACTTGCAAACCTAGCGCAGTAGCAAAAGCAAAAGGCGGAATACATTTTTACAAAGCCCTGTAGTTGCTGAATCTCTTAAAGTGGCTATTTTGGAGCGGATACATATTGAATGAAACTCATTTCTGTGTTGTGGAAGTTTGAAGGAAACATATTTTCTAGTATTAACTTGATTTTCTCTTGTTGAAACCATACTTGTATTTTCAATACCCTTTTCCCCTAATGAAGCCCCATTTGTAGTTTGGGATACAAAATCTGTGTTTTAGACATGGGGGTGGGCAACTTTTTTTAATTTTGAGAAAAAGTCAAATTGACATTTTCAAAGATATACTTTAATAGGAAAATATGTAAAAAAGAAAAATCCTGTTTTACTGTACCTTTTTTGAAACTTGCATTTGAGTACATATGGACATATCCTGAATGAACTTATCAAAAAGATTGTTTAAATTTTGGGCTTTTCAGTCCCTGCTTGCCCAGAGAAATTGACACTTAACTGTTAGCATGGGCAGATACAACACTGCAGAGTCTTTCCCAGTTTAGATCATCCTACACCTTTATGAGGGGATGTTGGTCAAAGTTGTTTCTGGTTTGAGCATCAATAAAACTGTCAGTTACCACCTGTAAACCCCTGTTTGCTTTGATAAATGATGCCATTGACTGTTGCCTTTCTTTCCTCCACCTCTTTTCTGTCTGGAAGTCCAACTCAGCCCACGCCCACTGCAAACAAAGCCAGAGTATTACCTCTATGCCTCAAAAATAAATTCTGAAGCCATACATTTCTCCTAAATTGTGTGATATTGTTGTGTGGCTATGAGTGACAGTATGCAATAGGTTCTGAGTAAGCTAAATTGATTTGATTGTAACAATGGTGGGGAAAGGCATGGAGGAGGCAGAAACTACCAATTCTTAAGCGTGAAAATCTGTCGATTGATTAGAGACTTCCTCTAGGAAAGATCCAAGGGGGGAAAGGATCATTTGGTTGGATAAGCAAAGCTGCTTTCTTGGCTGTGCTGAAGTAACCCAGTTTGTTAAAAGCTGAAGGTCCTTTTCTAAGCAGTAGCAGATCTCAGCATGTTAGGCGCAACTGACTTCTGGATGCTGTTCAGAAGTCTTTTCCTCTGGATCTTATGGTTTGTCTTAGACATTCAGGCAGCATAGTGAAGTCTTCCGGCCAAGAAAACAGGAGGGGCTGCTGGTTGCTATAGAAAATTTTTTCAACTTGAGAGTGAGATGCATCTCTATACATTTGCAGCCCATATACTTGCTCCAGCTCCAGAAAAATGCTGCAGCTGCAGTTGCTGCCTTCTAACTCCAAACCAGTGGTACATAAATGTTTGGGTACACTGGTGAGATGCTGAATGTATTGCTCAACAGAGAAATCTGAGTTTTTTTTAATGTTGTGCCTAAGATCCTGGAATTTCACAAAAAGGAGGCACCTGTGTGTAGCTGCGTACCTCTTCCCATAGGAATAATAATAAACAAATACACGCAATCTTGGTTAACTTGCAAAATGTATATGAATGCTGAAATTTAACTCCCTGGCACTAATTTTTCTCACACAATCGATCAATCGGTTTTCTGTCTCAGATCTTCATGTGAAAACTGCCGCCACATATTTTGCCAGATAGAGGTGAAGAGGAAAAGGAATAGCTTGTAAAGAAGCATTTTGATTGGCTTTGCTGACAAATTTCTAAGTCTGATGAAAGATTCCCAATTATCCCTTTTCAGGAAGTGGGATTATTGAATTTTAGGGTTGACTTAAAGTTCTTTGTTTGAATGCAAAGCATTGAGGGTTATCCTTCGGTTTCCCTTCCATCCTGGGTTGGCTTGGAGAGCTTCTCCTCTGTGCTTTTTCTGTCTCAGGTTGAAATGTTTTGGGTAATGTGAATGAGGTGTGAAATAAATAAGTTGCAGAGGCCACATAGTGGCAGGAAATAGTGTGGATCTCCTTTATTTCTTAGTGAATCAGGAGAATTTGGTTGTGAAATGCTCTGACCAAGAGATGAAATGCACACAGAAGAATGTTTTCTATTCAGAAAAATATGGAGAGATACTGCCAACAGAGTAATATATTCTCACACTCTGTTTGGTTAATAAATTACGAGGGGTATTTTTTAAGTAAGGTCCGTTGGAACATAAGTACACAACGAAAGTTTATTTCAAAAAAGTAAATTTATTTTCAGAAAGTACATACTTCACTCTATTTTTCGACATAGTTGCCAAGTTTGTTCAAACACTTATCATACCTCTGAACCAATTTTAAAATACCCTCTTCATAAAAACTTGCTCCGATAACCAAATCGTCTGTAATCAAAGAAGAGGTTGAGCAGTCCTCATCATGGACGTTGTTACGGCCATCTTTGAATTGTCGTACCCACTTCCGCACTTTGCTTTCACTCATAACGGTATCACCGTACACTTCACAAATCTGTCGATGAATTTCTGCAGCAGGCAGGTTCCTTGCTGACAAAAACCGTATCACTGAGCGAACCTCATATGCGGAGGGTGAGTTGATAGTCTTAAACATTTTTAAAGCACAGAACAGAACTGTACAGGTTAGCTACAGAGCGGAAACTGAGCACAGTTGTTCCCGAGGCATGCCAGTACACGACGCATGCGCTCGTTGCGGTATGCGTGCGAACTACTAGTGTCTACAACAAAACGGACCTTACTTAAAAAATACCCCTCATATTTATCTGTTGGGTCTCAGACAGAGCAAGTTGAGGGTGAAAGATGCAGACCTGCTTTGGACCATGGAATAATAAGTTTGCGATGCATTGTCTGGGGTATTAGGTCCTAGCAACTGATCAGCCTGATTTTCGTAGGTTTCTTGTCAATTCCAGAAGCTAGTAGTTTCTCCTTCTACTGCGACAGAACAGTAGGAACTTGATTCATTCAGCCAGAAATGTATCTCCTGCCCTTTGGAGGCGCTCTTTGGAGGACGAGGAGATCCATACAGTGCCCCCCCTACTTAGCACCAGCTGGCACCTTTACTCAGCAATGCAGCAGTGCAGAGCCTGCTCACGTTGGTCTGGATGCTGCGATGTTTCCTCCGGCAGGCCTCCTGTGTGCACCATGTGCAGGACTGGCTCACTGAAATGGGTGGTTTTTGGTGCCCAGAGAAACTTGGCTGGGAGGTAGATTCTCAGTTGACGGGGGTTTGCTCTGACCCTTCCAAGCAAGATGATGATTAATGGCAGGTGTTCTGTGAATAGCAATTCAGGTCCAACTTGCTCATTTCTACTCGGTCCATAGTGTGGGAGGGAGGGAGAGGTGTTTGCAAGCACACACACATCAGCTGTCTTTTGGCCGCTTCACCCAAAATTGGCTAATTACTTGAGATTAATGCTTAGAAGCAGCAGCTTCCTCTCCCCTCCTGCCATCTGCTCTTTTCTGTATGAGGCCTGTTATTATTTGCCAATGCCTGGATTCTGTTTTCTATGTTTGACCCCAGCTTTGTAGCTTTAACCTCTGGGGACTGCAGCTTGATCCAAATACTGAGGTGGATGCTAGAAGTTCTCCAGAAGAAGGAGGAGCCCGGAAGTTTAAACAAATGCTGTGTCTTTGTAACTTCAGAGACATTGTCCTTTTCTGTTTCAAGAGTTGTGCTTCCAGTTCTCAAGGACTTCACCATTTGAAATATGTTCCTACTGCTCAAAAGATGGAACTTCCATAATATCGTCTTGAGTTTTGGGTTGGGTATTGCTTTGATTCTCCTAGCCCTGTCTGTTTTTTTCCACATCTGTTGCTCTCTCATTGCCTTGTTGATCAATTAGGAAATAACTTCCAAGATGGGAAGAGCATATCTTATCTTAAATGCTTAGGACCCAAAGTGTTTTTGGATTTTTGAATATAGGCAGTCCCCGAGTTACAAGCATCCAACTTACAAACGACTCCTAGTTAAGAAGGGGGTGAGAAAGCAGGAAGTGAGAGAAATTTTTATTTATTTATTTATTTATTTGGAGTGCTTCTACCCCGTCCTTCTCAACCACCAAGGGGGGACTCAGGGCAGCTTACAAAAGGCACAATTTGATGCCCAACAGTCAGAGGCGGCCCTAGGTAATTTTCAACGGTAAGCAAACAGTATTTTGGCGCCCCCCAACCCAACCAATATATATATTCTGTTTGTCGTGAGACTTCTGTGTGCCATATTTGGTTCAATTCCATCATTGGTGGAGTTCAGAATGCTCTTTGATTGTAGGTGAACTATACATCCCAGTAACTACACTTGCTTCCTTGCCTGGCCCGCTTTGGGTCCGGAGGCATGCCTGAAGACCCCAGCATGTGCACCAAAAGTCACCTTTTCTCCTGACATTCTCCTCAGCCATTGGGACCAAGAGAGAGAGAGAGAGAGAGGTGGAGATGCCCATCTTTCCTGAAGGTAGGCGCAAAAACAAAGGAGGGAGCGGAGGTGGACGATATCTCCAGCCGGAAGGGCTCTCTCTCTCTCTCTCTCTCTTGGTCCCAATGGCTGAAGAGAAAGTCAGGAGAAGAGGCGACTTTTGGTGCACACGCTGGGGTCTTCAGACACGCCTCCGGACCCGAAGCGGGCCAGGCGCGGCGGCTCCACCCCTTGGCCCACCCGGATTGGGGAGAGGAGAGGAGGCGGGTGGAGCGCCGGGGGATCGGGAAAGGGAGCCGGTCATGGGGAAGGGATCGAACGTGGAGAACGATTGAGCGCCGGCTCTGCTCGCGCACCCGGTGGCCGGGTGGAGCAGGAACGAGAGGGGCTAGGCGAGGCTCAAGGGCCCGGCCCCTTTGGGAAGAGGATCGCCCGGCAGCGAGGCAAGAAAGCCGAGGCTCCCCCCGGACTGCTAGGGCTGTTGTGAGCTGAGGGGGCGCTCCTCAAGTGGGGGTGAGGGGCATTTACAGAGGCGCCTCTGCACCCCTGGCTAAAAAAGGGTTCTGTGACCACTTACTTCGCTTAATGAATGAGCCGCCCCTGCCAACAGTTCACAAAATACAATATACAAAATACAATATAACAACAGGAATTATAAATAATTAAAACACTCAAATTAATACAATACCAGCAATAAAATCATCTTGTTGTCAGTGTTCACCAATTCATAAATCCATGATCCATCCAGCATTGTCATTGTCCTTTCCTACTCTGGTCCTCATTGTCTTTTATCCATCTGCCAGCTTACCCAAAGGCCTGGTCCCATATCCAGGTTTTTAACTTCCTTCTGAAAGAGAGGAGTGATGTTGATGACCTAATTTCCCCAGGGAGTGAATTCCACAGGTGAAGGGCCACCACCGAGAAGCCCCTGTCCCTCGTCCCCACCAGTCTCACTTGTGATAAAGGTGGGGCCAAGAGCAGGGCCTTCCCAGAAGATCTTAAGCTCCGAGGTGGGACGTAGAAGGAGATACGTTAGGACCGGTACGCTGGGCCGGAGCCGTATAGGGTTTTGTAGGTCAAAACCAGCACTATCCCTAGGAAGGGAAATTCACTCCTGGAAGAGTTATCATGGGGAAAGGGTGTCTCAACTGAAGCTTTATCGCCAATTCTTGCTTCCACAAGTCAAATTTTTCAAAATTGAATTACTACAGGGACAGAAAGTTAGCTGACTGGAATTACACTTAAAATGTACCTGTACTTACATAGAAATTCAAGTTCAGAACAAACCTACAGAGCCTATCTTGCTTGTGACTTCGGGAATGACCTGTACTTATATTAGCATACATGTCATCTTGAAGATAGGACCCGAATCTAAACATAAAATTCATTTGTATTTCATCTATAACTTAAAAGACACCTAGCTTGAGGATAATTTTATATTTTGATGCATTAAACAAAAGTTTGCATATCTTGAACCACCCAAACAGAGATGTCACTATTTCAGCCAAACCATGTGGTCAGTTTCAGAAATTGGAATTCTGCATAAGGGATGTTCAACATGTGGAACCGAAGTGTGAAACTGGACATATTCCATGTAAAAGAATAGTGTATTTTAAGACCACCGGTTTGTCTGATTTGGGGGACAAACATTTATGCATCCTCTTACATTTCCCGTTGTAATACAAGACATGCATAGTATGTCACTGGCATAGTCTGTTGCAGCCATTTAATTGTATTTCTTACGCTACCAGTCAGCTTACAGATGTTATTATATAGCAATCTAATGTGCCCCAGGCAAAAGACAGAACTAATGGATAAAGTAAATATTCAGTGCTAGAAGCATTTTATATACATTTTTTTAAAAATGTGTATCCCATAAAAATCTCAGGATGGCTTATAATTACAATTAAAACCGTTTAAAACAGTAAAAGTAATGTCAATAAATTAAACATATTAAGCATAACTGAAATATTTAAATGGTTTAAACAGTTTAAAACTATGTACATTAGTATTTGAGAGAAATCAATGGAACTTAAAGGCTTTGACTGAACATCCAGGTTTTTTCTTGGAACCCAAATGAAATCAATGTTTGTGTTAATCAGGCACCAAAGGAGAGGACAATTCACAATTGGGGTGCTACAGCTAGAAAGATCCTCCCCCATGTCCCCTACATTGATTTTGTGGGTGGACATGGCACAATTCAAGACTTAGGCAAGTGCATGTCGGGAGAGGCACACCCTCAAGCTGTTTAGGGTTGTAAATGTCATTGCAAACATCCTGAATTCAAGCTGGAAGCAAATAGCAGCCACTACACGTCTTTGAAGAATGGATTACCATTTATGCTTTTTAGGAATAAGTAAAAAGAATGTTTGTTATTTAAATACTAGTTTTGGTAGCTGGTGATTCCCAGGTAAGATAAATTGTAACTAAGAAAATCCAGCAAATGCTACGTTCAGCAAAGGACAAGAGAGATCCTCTCACCTCTGCAGGAGTCTACCGTGTACCATGCAGCTGTGGACAAGTCTACATAGGGACCACCAAACGCAGCGTTGCCCAAACAAGAATCAAGGAACATGAACGGCACTGCAGACTA